CCATCAGGCGCACGACTAGGCACTTGGTATCCAAAAAAAAGAAACACTGTTTTGTATCGGGTTTTCTAAAGTTCCAATTTAAGTTTTTCATGTATTATCAATATGTTTCTGCTTGCCTTCTTGTTAGTACCGTCCCGTCGGTCACTCTGTCAAGCTAACTCTTTCTATCCGTCTTTAACACCAAATCGCAAAAGCCTCTAATTACCCGCCATAGATAACACTGTTATTCTATCTGGTTTTTGTCACCCGTCTTATCTACATAATTTCATCTTTAGTATTCATAATTCTTTCACGCAAAATGATCGTTTGTTGTGCAATACTAAAATAACCACCATGCGTTCTTAAAATTTAGATAAAATATAACATTAATGAGGTTTTAAAATATTATTGTGATATGTGATGTGTATAATGCAGAAGTGAAAAACTCATCATCAGAATTTGAAAACTTACTTGGTTTTCTAAGTGACTGTTTGTCTGTCAGTTCTCCGACAAGAAATTAAATAAATAAAATAAAAATAAATCAATCATCCCTTCGCTTAGTATCATAAAACAATCTTTATACGTCTAGCTTTTAAAAGTTTTTCGTCGTTATCACAAAAACAAGTAATGAAAAATAATAACTAAAAAGACGAATCTCTGTAACTTTTCAGTGTCGTTATGAATATCATTATGATCCGCATATCAAATTTGTTTCCACTGCCAGCCGTATACGTTTATGTAACGTGTTCTAATTCAGTTTAAAAGACAGTCATCAAACGATCATGTCTGTACGCGAACGAACTTACAAAATGTAACACGTAAAAAAATACTGTAAACTTTCTGTGATATAGCCGTGATATTAACGAAGTGTGTGAAAATGATTGTACTTAGTTGGATTTTTTATTTATTTCTGGATAATGTTTTTACGAGGAGGAGAGTTAGGAAGAAATGTTTATGCCATGTAAGTTTTTAACGTCTACTTATATTTTACGAACTTCTGCGGTTAAAACAGTGTGTGTTTGCTTAAAGAGATGGAAATAGTAGTGTTAACAAGTATATTTTGTACCACAAACCAAATTACAAACTTTTCTCCATAAATCGGTTTTTTCCCAAGTAACCTTTAAAAAGGACATAATATCACGCATTCCAAACGATACTGTCACTAAACGAAAGTCTCGCTTTTTCAAATTTAAACTTATTTTCATAAAAACTTGACCTTTTCGATTAGTGACGATATTGATTTCAACGTGTGATATAACAACATTTTCGTATTGATGTCACCTTGAGGCATAAGTTGACAAGTCCTATGTGCCTGTAATTTCTCCAGCACCCTTACCCTTCAAAACCGGAACACAGTAATGCTAACATAACTGCTTTGTGGCAGAAATAGGTAAGGTGGCAGTATTTCTCTGGACGAACTCTTTCACAAGGGCTCTACTGCTTGCGAAATCTTACCTTTTACTTATATTGTAATTAATTATTAACAAGGCATTAGCAGTTATCAAATGAACACTAAATCGCGAATTAGTGCGCGACAGTGTGACTTATGTATATTACTTTTAACGTACAGTGCAATTCTAATGTAAATTTAGCTTATGTATACCGTCTTTGTTTATTCTACACGGTTTCTTTGGATGTGAATATTATTCATCACATACTACGTTTATTGTCTCACTTCTGTTATTGTCTATAGGAAAATTGAAACTGGATGTTAATTGGTTCTATTGTTACTAATGATATCTGAAATAGTTTCAATTTGTAAAGATCAGAACAGGTAAATCTTCAAAACTATTTTTTTTTAATCGACTTTAAAAAAGGAGGAGGTTCTCCATTCGACTGTATTGTTTTGTGTGTATGTTACGCGATTTATGAACCGATTTTGATGATTTTTTTTTTGGTGGAAAGAGGGCACAGGTATTCTCTCTTCAGGCGGCCTCGGAAGCGTTCCGGGTTCATATGAACCCGTACATTACAAAAATTCTCGCGCCCGGAACGGTTCCGCGGCCGCCGCTATGGCCGGAGCATTAATCCGGTGTGGCGCACTTTCCGGTAATCGATTTCAATAAGACTTGGCAAACAGATGTAATGCCACAAACTTTTGAGGTCGGTTTTTTTAAGAAAAATATTAATTTATTTCGGTACAATATCTAGTTCTTATATTTTCGCGTTAAGACACAAATTATGTTTACGATTGTGGGCTCGTCTTACTCTCGACAAGTAGGCGATGTGATAAGCATTAAGATTGATATGATAAGACGTTACCTTTTCCAATAAACCCTTTTAAACCATTCAATTATAATTGTACACAATGTCATATTAAACAAAATATTGGTGTTATTTATTTGTTGATACTAGAAACACTACTACAAAATAAACTCATAGTGGGAACATAACTCATATTGTACGACGACACATCCTGTATAATGTTCCATTTGTTTAATGTGACACGTTCTTTGTCAATGGTAAACTAAACAGCTGTGGAGTACACATCGTGTAAATAGCCTAAATTGTATGTTGAGCAGTTGAAAACGTAGAATTACCAATTTTATGCAATGTACATATATATACATACAATGTACAATAGGTCCGACACTTGCCTACGATCGTCGAAGACAGGCCCTGTACTCTCGTTTTCCAACATCCATCTGACACGATGACTGTCAAATTAGTAACACTCTACCAAATAAAAAGACGCATTATGCGAATGAAGCTTCATACTTGAGATTAGATTTTGATTTGGTCGAGTATTACCATCGAGTATATAACCAGAAATAGAGATGAAATAAGGTCCATACGTTCCTGGTAACTCATCAGTGATACATCACTTATAAATATCAACTCTCGCTTGCACTGAAATATAGACAGCGCCAACAACTGACCTGTGTGTACGTCTCCGTATATTCCAAAAATATTCTGTATTTATTGTAATAAAGATGATCTCTAACAATGGGGGTTGTTCAATTCGGTGGTAGAAAAAACAGCAAAACATCTAATTACAAAACAAACGGAATCAAATTTCATCGGTAATTAAATTTTAAATATATAATTTTGCAATTTTCCTCCATTATAGCAAAGCTAAGTTAAACTGGTCTATTTCAAGTGAAACAATTGACGACACCCGTCAAATGGCAGAATAGTTTTCAAACAAATTAAATGACATTTCGTCTCTATTTCTGGTTATATACTCGATGGGTATTACCTATTTGATAGTAATTGTTTCGGACAGACAACAGACGAAGAAAGAGAGAAGACACCCTGATTATTATACAGAGTAATTATGACGCATTTACACAAAGTCGTCAGGCGACTTCCGCTTGCCCGCCGAAGGCGACATGCTACCGGTGTAAATAGTAAGAAGTCAGCCGAAGGTCGGCAGACGACCCGGTGTAAATGCGCCCTTAGGCGACTTGATATTATATTGATTTAGTGATGGATCGAAACAGATTGTTTCTATAGTTTAATCATGTGAAAAGGGTGTTTTTTTATTGTAGGAATAAATGCGCATTTGCGCATCTCACCTGGTGGAAAGTGACGATAAAGCATGCACACTTGTATATATATAATAATAATAATACCGCACACACTCAACATAGGAAAACCCTGTACTAGGAAAACCCTGTGTCGCGGGTGCCATGGACACACACATAGACAACAACAAATTAATAATAGTAATAATAACGCACTCACTCAATATAGCCCCGCACTAGGGAAACCTTGTATCGCGGGTGCCATGGACACACACATAGACAACCACAAATTACACCCAAACTCACGAGAGAAATAAATGTAGGCCATACAGATATTTCTACCGGCCCGGGAATCGAACCTGGGACTTCTGTGTGGCAGTCCGGCATGGTAACCGTTCGGCTACGGAGGCAGTTCATGATGTATATAGTACATGATGCATTGTCACTTTCGCCTTTAAAAGGCCCAGGTTATAATGTTCGGGGAACAGATTTGCAGGTAGAGAATTCCACTCCAATGCCGTACGCTAGATAAATGTGGATTGAAGTAGATTGATTGTTAATAGATCGAAGGCACACATTTTCCGAGCGAATATGGATGTCTACGTGGGGAGATGTAGCCAGTAAACACATTGCGATCAGATTGGGGATGCCCTTTAAAAAAACCAAATTTAAAAGTACCAAGAGTATACCGGTACAAGAATTTACCGCGCATATAATATGAAACACTAACACGAGTAGAGGTTTATTAGGCGCGTAGGAAGCGGAGGTTCATGTTTTCCAAGAGACATGCGTGATGGGATGCTTCTGATATTTTATAGTATTGACTTGTCCCAAAATAACGTTTCTTACAATTTATTATGTATATTTAATCTAGTTGACAGATATGCTCTATAAATGAAACATTTGTAAACTCCCATCTCAGACGTTTAAACGAACAATTGCTTGTTTTGTTTAATTATGATCGCAACCAGAGCATTGTAAGGTCATGTGGGTGAGGACGGCGTGCGCTGTTTTGTTATCGAACAATACTATTTGTTTACTGATTCTTAAAATAATATTTTATTATTCTTTAGTACAAACATTTTAGACGATATTACGCTGAATCCACGAAACCAAATTTATTCATTCTTTCCCTTCGTGGTTCCTCGGCTAATATGATCGTACGTTTCATTATATAAGAATAGATTTTTATTCTGTCTGTATTAGAAATGTGCGCCCATCATAAAATTGTTGGCGTCTGAAGATTTGAAATCGATCGGCGTGAATTCGTGGTGGCATATATTCTTAAGATGTTATAAAAATACTAAAACATTGTATATATCAACCTTTGTGTACAATTTCAACGTTTTTTGCACTTTAACTTGAAAGTTAGCAAGTAATCTACGACGGCAGGTAATCTAACAGCACTAGCATTCATGCGCTATCTAGAGGGAGAAATGTTCAGTGTGCCTCCTCATTTTAATAGGATGTACTTGATAGATGATTCCAAAATGAAGTCCCATGCGGATTAGCGTGTTGAAGATACGGGAATAACAAACTGGTTTTTTTTTCTAGGACTGGTGGAAGGTGGAGGTGAACGACCGTCAAGGTTTCGTACCTGCAGCGTACGTGAAGAAGATCGATGCCGGCCTTTCCTCCTCGCAGCAGAACCTCGTCGACTCTAGCTCCATCGCCGCCAGACAAAATCAGGTGATGTCCTTGTTACAGTCGTCCTTATGGTAGTCTAGGTACCGTCAACCGTCGTTTAGAAGTCCTACAATGTTGATAATTATTGTTTTTAGATTGACGCCCAATATGACAATCTCTTAGCGTTGGCTCGTGAGAGGCAAAACAAGCTCAACGAGACCGTCAAGGCATACGTGCTCGTCCGCGAGGCCGCTGAGCTCGCCACCTGGATCAAGGATAAGGAAATGCATGCGCAAGTGCAAGACGTGGGCGAGGATTTGGAGCAAGTGGAGGTGATGCAGAAGAAGTTCGATGACTTCCAGAACGACCTGCGCGCCAACGAGGTCCGCCTCGCCGAGATGAACGAGATCGCCGTCCAGCTCATGACTGTCGGACAGACTGAGGCAGCGCTCAAAATCAAGACGCAGATGCAGGTGAGATGCTTACTCTAAATCTGATAATTATTCGTAGCATTAATCATAGATGCATGTCGCTACGGTGATTCAAATCGTCACTCTTTCGTTGTTTCAGGAGCTGAACTCGAAGTGGACGTCGCTGCAGCAGCTGACAGCAGAACGCGCGGCGCAGCTAGGTTCCGCCCACGAGGTGCAGCGCTTCCACCGCGACGTCGACGAGACCAAGGACTGGATCGCCGAGAAGGAGGCCGCGCTTGCCACCGATGACCTCGGCAAGGACTTGCGCTCCGTGCAGACCTTACAACGTTAGTATATAGAAGCTAACAAGTTACTTGAGATGATACAAAGATCGGACACATAGAAAAACGTATTCGACCCGGTGAGACCGCTGCACCTTAGCATTGCTCTTACCAACTACGCCACGAGTCAAGTTACCGAGTTGTCGAAATTCTCCTATGTGTTTTTTGTTATAGATCATTGTACTGCTTTCAGCATTCGTCGCCGCTAGTGAGAGATTTTTGAATAACCTTCTCACCGCAGCCGGTACCTTTACAGGTGTCTCAACTAACGTAGATGTCGCTTACTGAGATTTTTTGTGAAAGAATCGCGCGTGTAAAGACGTTGAAGGAAAAGGGGAAGACTGCGCAATCGCGCGTTCTATCACGCGGCAGTTTCATACGATCTATCCTGCGCAATTAGCTTTTACACGGACGCTCTTTCCGTTGTAACAAAAACTAACACGAGCAATCACGCGAAAGAACGTTAACTTCAAAATTTTCAAACAGGTAATCGTGGATTGCGCGTGCAGGCTTTCCCGCGCGCAATCATGTAGGCTCCTGATCACACGCGATAGAATGACTGTGTAAATGAGGCTAATATGTTATAATCTAACTATTCGTCGACAGGTAAGCACGAGGGTCTCGAGCGCGACTTAGCCGCTTTAGGCGACAAGATTCGTCAGTTGGACGAAACTGCTAACCGTCTGATGTCGACCCATGGAGATTCTGCCGATGCCACGTACAGCAAGCAAAGGGAAATCAACGAGGCATGGCAGCAACTGCAAGCCAGGGCCAACGCTCGCAAGGAGAAGCTTCTCGATTCATATGATCTACAGAGGTATTATTGCAATCTCCATTCCATAGTTCCGTTCTTCTTGCAGTCTAAGAGCGTTTTCGCACTAGGTTCAGCCTTCTACAATCGAAATCAATTTATATTCATATACATTTTAATAAGAACAGGTCGATTTCATTGTCTACATTGAATTAAAATGAAAACCTTTGAAAATATGTCTCCTCTTTGCATTTTTAATAGACAAATGTATGTATGAGACTCGAGTGGCGACTGCGTTGCCACAGATGGACGGTCAGTTCAATACCGTCCCGCACTAAAAAGTTTGGCAATTCGTTTTTATGCCGAACCATCAAATTGTGGAACCAACTCCCGGCGCATGTATTCCCTCCCCTCTATAACATCGGGTCCTTCAAACGTAGTGTGAAGAAGCATTTGGCCAGACCGGCAAAATGATAGTGACGGAGTGAAGATATTTGTGTTTTCCATCCGTTACTCTCATCTCTGGACTGTATTCGCACTTTCCATCAGGCGCGGTGCAGTCATTTTGCCGAGTCACAATAAAAAAAAAAAATGAACTTACAAAAAATAACAATTCGAATGCTGTTGTTGTTGAAAAAAGGCTGTTGATGAGTCGAATGAAATAAGTTCGGCTATCTATTGCATAAGTGTGACCAACTTTCTGTGGATAGAATATTTCGACCCCTCCGAAGTAAAGTATGGTATGTCGAAATTGCCAAGTTTACAGGGAAGCGTTTTAAAGTTCTGAATTCACTGAAACGAACATAACACGTGACTTTAGCATTTCTCAGTTTTATTCGGCAAAGCTCATTACTCACAGAGTATTATAAAATCCTAGATATCGGTTAGATGATCTATGGTGATCACTCTTTCAGTGAATTCAGAACTTTAAAACGCTCCCCTGTAAACTTGGCAATTTTGACATACGATACTTTACGTAGGAGGGGTCGATTTGTCGACTGCAACCACTAGCTGCTTGCAACCGGGCAACTCTTTGCGCTATGAACTGTCATTTTTACTCCATCTTCAAAAAACTATAAGTTAACACCCTTTTATTATTCCTCAGATTCCTCTCTGATTACCGCGACTTGATGGCATGGATCAACTCAATGATGGCGTTAGTAAGTTCCGACGAGCTCGCCAATGATGTCACTGGCGCCGAAGCTCTCCTCGAAAGACACCAGGTACGTCGCTCTCTATTGCTAACATTTTGTTTCATTATGAATTGTTCAATCAGTTGCTATGATCCGTCGCCACGTTATCAAGCAGCTTAGAGAGAGTTCAAATTTTATCTCAAGTTCTAACGAACCGATTTTAATACTGTTTATAGTAATGCTTATACACATCCCACTTTGACACCACATTCGAATGTCAACCAGGCGACAAAATAACAAAACACAAATCATACACTCTTAGAAACTTATATCTCATAATCAAGAACGTCCTACTCGGGATGAGTTGTACCAGTGTAACCACAACAGAAATTTAGTTAACAAGCAACACGAAATTCCCATATTATGTAGTTCTACTAATTTTATGTGTGGTAAAAATCTATATGTAGAGAATAATGAGTAAGTGGTGTTTCTAGACCCAGCGGCTGGAGATAGACGCGCGGTACGGCATTATGCCGCAGGTCAGATGCAGTGCAAGCATGTGTGCCAACCTAACAATAATTTTACACTATTGATACAATGACAGTTTTTTGTTTTGAATCTTAACTACATTGGTCATCTATTAAATATACGACTGGGCGAACGGTGAAAAAACCCAGTGGTTTTAACACTATCTCTCCGTTTTGATGTTGCCCTTTAAACTAGTGCTTTCACTAATTGTCTGGCAAACTTTTGACAGTATTGCCATTTACACCGCTATTTCTTCTAATTATATGTCAAGCTTTTGACACAATATTAGTGGGAGCCAGTTTAAATAGCAACTTTGTCAAAAATTTAACAGATAATTGGTGGAAAGAAACTAAGTAACTAAAAGCACGCCACACTCGCCATGCCTAATCTCGCTCTTATATTTCTAGTAGAAAAGGAAGGTGAGTTGTCTTTAGTTAGATAGGTATTGCGAGAGCGCTCTTTCTTTTTTTTTTTATTTATTTTACGAAGATGTAAAGCTATAATAAAAATGGTATATAAACTAAAAGAACAAAGAACTATTACAAACTCCACATTTAAATATCAAAATTACGCAGCAATAATTATTGCTGATCTTAAATTTTGAAGGTTCAAATCAAATCATAAATATCATACATATTTTCAGTGGTATATACGTAACATATACGTTTTCAGGCCTACACATTTATATACATTACATCTATTATATAAAATATAAGTGTAGCTTGAGTGTATCTACAATTTTTACTTACAGTTAAAATTCTCGGTTGAAACGTCGTTTTAAATGTCAATATTAACCCAGATATACTGAATATCATTGTAACCGGGCTGTCATTCGCATTAAGTTTAGCTTGTAGCTGAAAACTGCTTTCACCCAGTGACATTAGATCATTTAAATAGTCAAAATAATTACGTTCAAAATCACACTCGGTTATTATAAAGATAAATTCAGAACATAAGTTTACACCATCGCGGTTAAAATCTCGATTGATAAAAGTTTCAATAAAGACTGTCAATGTGTCATTACCGTGTATCAAACAACACACCAAATATGCATTATATAAATTACACCTTACACTCGATGTGCTATTGATATTGAATCCAATAGAATAGAAAACATGAAATGACACCTTCACACTACAAAAATTTTAGTTTGATGGGAAAATAATTTTAACAAGCCAGATTTAATGATCGTGTTTCAGACGGATGAAATTTTCAATCGATACATTTGCCACACATATCTCGTGCAGTTCGTGATTGAGGCTACAAAAAAGGGCCATGTATTTTTGTGTAAATTTTATCTGTTCAAAGCACAATCTTTGGCAAAAATTTTAGTTAGAATAACACTTAAGTTTAAGAATAGCCTAACATGTAGACAGGTGATACTATTTTACAATAACAAATTCTTATTTTCTATTTTATGGTGATCAATGTTGGTTATTTCCTTCCATTTTTTTTTTATTAATTATATTATTGCGACATAGTCAAATTCAAATTGGTTAATGTTTTGAAGCTGACTGTATTTTGTTTGTGTGTTGTTTATCGATTTTTTTTATTATTTGTTAGATGTTGTTTACTTCTTTGTTTCTTCGGTGGTTTTGTGTGTTGTGGATTTTTCCTTTTGTAACAATTTTTGAAATGAAATGTGGATTGTGTTTATATAATAATTGTTTCCTATACCCGATTTTTTTTGTGTAAACACTGTTTTGTATAATCTTGGAATAATTGGGATTGAAATGCAGAAAGTCGAGTAAATAATAACACAACCTTATTGAAACAAGTTTAGTATTTTTTTTACGTAATTACTAGTACAAAATCATGAACGCCATACAGTGGTAATCATGAATCAGTTAAACCGATTCGTACTAAATATTCTCAAACGACTACACAAAATCTTCTGTTCATCTTAAACAATCAATAACAGAAGTTAACAACAAAACACAAGCTATAACGCGTTGTACGTACAGGAGCATCGCACGGAGATGGATGCGCGCGCCGGTACCTTCCAGGCACTGGAGCTGTTCGGACAACAGCTGCTGCAGAGCGGCCACTACGCCAGTGTCGATATACAAGAGAAACTTAACAACATGGGCGACGCGAGACAGGAGCTTGAAAAGTTAGTATGTCATATTTATTTTTAACTGTCTTCAAAAAAGGACGGGGTTAACACCCCGTCCTTTTATGAACGTCGTATGTCAATTTCGATTGTTTTTTTTTTGTTGGAAAGCGGTCACCTCGACAGCGATCTCATTAAATTTGAAGAAATTATTGTATTGTTATTCCACCTATCAGGATGGCAAATTAGGGTACAAATCCGGTTTATAGAATTTACCAAGTGTCTGTTAACCAATTAAAATTTTTATTTTTTATTTTTTATTTATGGCTAAATGTACAGACATCAGATACAGAAAGTGAGGAAAATAAAAACACTTAAAAATTAATACAACAGGCATATCTGTGCCCAATTATTACTGTGCTCAACATTCATTTTAAAACATTTAGATATACTTAAACAGACACTAAATCAATCATAAAAAAAATCGAGAGAATGAGAATATGCTATTCACTTTACATTAATGCTAGCAAATAACAAAAATAATAAAAATATAAATAATAAAAAAATAAAATAAATGAAACTTAGCACTTAACTTTAACTTGGTGGCAGAAATAGGCAAGGCAGAACTTTCCTAGTCAATTAATCTTTATTTAATAGGTGAGCAAATTACGCTTGAAATCGACATACTAATTTAAACTCTACTGCTCATTCGTAAGGCAGATTCCCATGAGAAGAATTAGCAAGGACTTTGAATACATTTATCATTACAATATTTTATTTAAACATGTTAAATCGAGAATACCTGAAAGAGCTAAACAGGTCAACCAAGGGTTTTTGGCATCCATTCCCCGGCCGGAAGAAATATTTGTATAGCCTACATTTATTTCTCTCGTGAGTTTGGGTGTAATTTGTGGTTGTCTATGTGTGTGTCCATAGCACCCGCGATACAGGGTTTCCCAGTGCGGGGCTATGTTGAGTGTGTGCGTTATTATTATTATAAATAACCTTTAGTATAAAATTTTTGTTTCACAATAGTATTAAATCTCGTAAATGGCAAATTTTGAATATGAATCGGAATCTTATTATGGAAGCTTATACATTGCCCCATAAATGAATTTGAGACTTTATGAAGACGACTGTCAGGAACAGCTACTTTTATTCCTCGTATTAATGTTATGTCTGTCACTATTTTTTATAAAAAAATAATAATATTTTTCTTAACTTGATCTATCAAAGAAATATCATTCACAAGGACCTCTACTGCTACTACTAATACATATATTGATTTTAAATGATGTTAGTTTTTTATTTACATGCATTAGTCTGCCGACCCTAATTTATTCTCCGAGTTACTGTCACATTATCTTGTGTCAGGGCGTGGGTGGCACGCCGCATGAAGCTGGACCAGAACCTAGAACTCCAACTGTTCTACCGCGACTGCGAACAAGCCGAAGGGTGGATGGCGGCGCGCGAGGCCTTCCTCTCTCCCACCGACCAGCCCGACCAGCCCACCACCGATAACGTCGAGCAACTCATCAAGAAGCACGAGGACTTCGACAAGGCGATCAACGCACATGTACGTATGCCACATTTTTTCAATGTTATTTTCTTTTTTCTTGTCAAATTCGAATCTCTTAATGCCCAGCGCGTTCGTTGAATGTTGCCGTTTAATATGAGAGCTTTGATGATGCCATAACCAGGATAGAATAAGTGTCTCATTCATTTTGTCATATTTGTAAATAATGTTGGTAAAATATTGGCACAATTGTATGAAGCGCATTACGCTGGAAATTTAAGGAAAGGTCGACCTCGTCGTGCATATTTCAACATGCAGAATTCCCTAAAAAAATGCCAGGTCAAAAGTAACAAGTACTTGCGTGCATGTAAATACCAATCAATGTGGAGGTCATGGTGGCATGTCCAGTCAAAGGCACTTCAAGCTAGACGCTTTTGTTTGAATATCATCTCCAGTACAACGGAACAATATCAGTCAATGTGTAGCTTAATGTGCCGCCGTCTATGCTAATAATTGTTTATATGAGAACTGGTGACCAAAATAATTTACTATAATACCAAATATATTATTGTTCCTAATCCAATCCAACCAATCGATTATAACGCAAATGATTTCAAAATAAAAAAATTGTGTCTAAAGTTTCTAGACCTGGAACTAGCAGCCTACCCACTAAAATATTCAGGAAAATGAATGCTGAACCTCCGGAATTATAGCAATTGACGTTAATATGTGTTGGTTAAACAAAACAGGAGGAGAAGATCGCTCAGTTGCAAACTTTGGCGGATCAGCTGATAGCCTCTGATCACTACGCGGCCGGTCCCATCGACAAGAAGCGCAAACAGGTGCTCGATCGCTGGCGTCACCTCAAAGAGGCTCTTATTGAAAAGAGATCCAGGTTAGTCCTATGACTTCACATTTTAGCGGCGCCCCTTTTGAAATTTGTTCCTTTTTAATGCAGTCTTTTAAAATTTCACACCCATGATCCACGTTTCTTGCACAGACTGGGCGACGAACAAACTCTGCAGCAATTCTCACGCGACGCCGACGAAATGGAGAATTGGATCGCCGAGAAACTACAGCTCGCCACCGAAGAGAGCTACAAGGTACCACGTCGTATAGTTTGTTTATTAAGTTCAACTGATTTTGAGATCACCCCAAATTTTGCGGTGTCCAGTCAGGTCGTTACAGTTCTATTCATGTTTCGTAGGACCCCGCGAACATTCAGTCTAAGCACCAGAAGCACCAGGCGTTCGAGGCAGAGTTGGCGGCCAACGCCGAGCGCATCCAGTCCGTACTTGCCATGGGAGGTAACCTCGTGCAGCGTGGTCAGTGCAGCGGCAGCGAAGACGCCGTACAGGTACACACAAACCCTGGAACCACGCCTATCTAATCATAATTAGCACCACTGAAAACTCCCGAACATCTATTTTGGCCCATATTGCACATAAAATATTGGCTGCCGTTTTGAATTTACAGTTGACTTGTATACCCTATTATGTTGCTCTTGGCAACATTTTCGAGGTGCCTGGTTTAGTTTCGAGATACAAATGTTTTGTTTTATTTAGGCTCGCTTAGCATCCATCGCTGACCAGTGGGAGTTCTTGACGCAAAAGACGACCGAGAAATCGTTGAAACTGAAGGAGGCCAACAAGCAGCGTACGTACATCGCCGCTGTTAAGGACCTTGACTTCTGGCTTGGAGAGGTAATGTCGTTAAATATTTTTCCAGATTATTATAATGTGTGTGGGTTTATGAGTGTTTTAATGCCTAATTATACACTGCTTTATCTACACACATATTATAAGCTCTCTGTGATGTGCTCAAGAACAGCATGTTACGACTGGCGAAATGGCGGCGAACAAAAACTTTTCTCACGCATATCACACAACCGTAGTTTTTATTTTTAATTCATAGACAAACTAGAATCGGCCCCAACTATCATATCGTTCGATATCAAGTAACGTGTGAAATTGTCAAAATTGTTTGCTATTGACATTTCATTTCGAATAAGACTTCATCTCGACTGATATTAGAATTAGGTCCAATCAAATTGTTTTGTTTTTCAGAGGTGTTCGAAATTTGAATGTAATAATAACATCGAATTTGATGTTATTAAGAAGCAATAATAACATTTTCACAGATAAGAAATTTGTTCTGACAAAACAGTTTACCTTTACGCTGGTCGTAATTTGCGGTTTTTGAACACATTACAGAGAGTTTATGATATATGTGTAGATAAATAATATTAAAAAGATGTATGTAATTGTATTTGAAGTTAATAGACACCGACTTATGTCAGTTGATAAATTTTCGCTTAGGTTGAGAGCTTGTTGACATCGGAAGACTCTGGCAAGGATCTAGCTTCGGTGCAGAACCTGATGAAGAAGCACCAACTCGTCGAGGCGGACATCCAGGCTCACACTGACAGGATCAACGGTGTGTTCGAATTACTTTTTGTGTTTTAATCTTGGCGCTTATGATCGTTGGTATGTGACTAACACCTTTTCTGTTCGTAGACATGAACGCACAGGCCGACGCGTTGATGTCGTCCGGGCAGTTCGACAGCGCGGGCATCGGTTCGCGGCGCACCGCCATCAACGAGAGAATCGAGCGCGTGCGCAACTTGGCCGCGCACCGTCGCGCCAAGCTGGCCGAGGCCAACACGCTACACCAGTTCTTCCGCGACATCGCCGACGAGGAGTCCTGGATCAAGTCAGTTCTACTATTACCCACTTGTAATTGTACATGGACTATGGCAGCTTGGTTCGAATCTGAAGTATGGCAGTCATGCGGACTTATTTCAATTTCACGGACAAATGTATAGCAGCGACACAGACTCTTCGTCTGTAGTGCCTTTCTCCTAGAACACGTAATATCGTTAGTACATTTTAACAAGAATAAAAAAACGTTATGTTAATAGTACATTCGTTTCAGAACTTCATGTTCTATATTACTCCACAAAGAGTAAATATTTATTTTACGTCTAAATTTCGTCCATTGGTGTTGTAAGGGACGAATACAAGAATTTATAACGCATCTGGATCGACTTCGAAATTCCCTGAAATTAGTCGCCTATCGGTGCCCCCGCATAAACCATCGACTACTAACAATTTTCGCTCACAGGGAAAAGAAACTCCTCGTTGCTTCGGACGACTATGGTCGAGACCTAACTGGAGTACAGAATCTGCTCAAGAAGCACAAGCGACTGGAAGCCGAATTGGCTAGCCACGAGCCCGCTATTCAGGCCGTCCAGGAGGCAGGAGAGAAACTCATGGACGTTTCCAACCTTGGTGTGCCAGAAATCGAACAACGACTTAAGGCCCTGGCTCAAGCTTGGTCAGAGCTGCAAGCGCTGGCTGCGGAAAGAGGCGCCAAGCTGCAGCAGTCATTGGCTTATCAACAGTACTTGGCCAAGGTTGACGAAGAAGAAGCTTGGATTAGGTAAGTCATCAGCTACAACTTAGAATTTAAATCTTCCGAAGCTCTGCTCCAATTCCTGAAAACATCCTGGCAATTATTAAGACACTGAAATAATTTATTTTTAATTTCAAATCTATTATAGACTAGAAAATTCACAAAAACTATAATTATGTTCTAAACCACTGCACGCGCGTTAACGCCATCTAGTACGCGTGCATTAAACTATTAAGAATTTTGACAAAGAGTATCACTGTCCGTGAACAGACTCGACAATCTGTACCTGCTTCAAATTACCTACCTAATACCTATGGGGAACAAGTTAGGCAGATAATATTGAGTGTTTACCAAGAAAATTTAACTATAGTTGGGGAATTAACGGAATGCCCCTGTGAAAGTCGCTATTAATTGCACAATACTTTCGTTTACAACTCGTTTCCACTCTGATATTAGATACCATTATGATATAAGTGCACAAATAACTATTTATTTAATTTTCGATTTGGTATTGTCTATGATACTTAATCTATCATATTATGTGTTCTCTTGTTTTAACGCTCGTCACCACATACTTGCGGAAACGAAATGCATATTTCGAAATGTATATTTAAGCACGTGGTATTTTAGTTAATTATCTCGCCATTACCAATAATTAAATAATACATAAATTAGTCAAAAACCAGAATATTACTTACTGAATCAATGTGAAATAACGGTGTTCGCAACGATTTAAATTACTTTTCAAAGAGGACCGCGTCTGTGTCTGACATCAAAGAACTAAATGAAGTGTTGTGCCGGCACCGCAAATCAGTGGAATACAGTGTGTACTGAGCGCCGCATCTAGTACGCTAGTACATAGGTATCGTTATCTTCTAGTGAGAAACAGCAACTGGTGGTGGTAGGCGAGTGCGGCGACAGCATGGCCGCCGTTCAAGGCCTGTTGAAAAAGCACGAAGCACTTGAAGCTGAACTGGCGGCGCGCGCTGAACGCGTCCGCGACTTGTCCGCCGACGGCGAGCGCCTGCTGCAGGCCGGCAATCTACACTCCGATGCGCTGGCACACAGGATCAGGGCACTCCAGGTAAGACAAATAAAGTTGCGTAAATAATTCTATTGCTGTAGACCGCGTAAAATATTGACATATAAAATGTTACTTGTGTCCGCTAACGGTGCTGTACAATTTGTCATTTGAGCACCCGCTAGCGAAAACTCACAGTAAACTCTTCAATCGCAGATTGCCACATTAATGGTTGGTTTTATAGTGTATTTAATATCATGCTTGTTGTGGTATACAGGCTAAGCTGGAGAAGCTGACGGCTCTGGCGGCTAGGCGCAAGGCAGCGCTGGTGGATAACTCGGCGTATCTGCAGCTGCTGTGGAAGGCCGACGTGGTGGAATCCTGGATCGCCGACAAGGAGACCCACGTGCGCTCCGACGAATATGGGCGCGATCTCTCCACTGTGCAGACGCTGCTGACCAAGCAGGACACCTTTGACGCTGGTAACTATTAGGAATAGAATCTTTTTAGAATTTTACGAACAACACTTTAATAACCAAATGGTAAAAACCAAAAACAAAGGTCTGCAACAAGCACATAGAAAAATTCGTAAGGTCCACTAGTTCGTTCCGTGGCTTAGTTAACATAGCGTCTGGCACGGTTTGTTGGAAGACGTTGGTTCGAATCCAGCCAGATCGAAGGAACTTTTTCTAAGTGTTTGGTCCTTGTATTAATAATTGTAACAGTTTAATAGCTCTTCAATAGGATTAAGCATCGTGCTGGAGAGATTGGCCAGTCTAGGCACCGCTTTACTGATGTGCGCCACAAAGAGGCTCTTTTCATTAACCCACTAACTGCGGCGCTCCAACAAAATCCAGGCAAAATTGCAGGTGTACCCCTCGTGCACAGACACCTAATTAGTGCAATGAAGCTGGCAATAAATTATCCAAAATTTATATGGTTTTAAAATATCGTAGCAGTAGAGCTCCTTGTGAAAGAGTTCGTATAGGATAGTGCTGCCACCTTAACCTATTTCTGCCGCCAAGCAGTAATGCCAGCATTACTGTGTTGCGATTTAGAAGGGTAAGGGTGAAATTACAGGCACATGGGACATGTCAACTTATGTCTCAAGGTGACAGGCGCAGTGGCAGTGCCCCTCAGATCTTTGCGATTTAAAGCTCTGAATGGCATAAGTGAGAAGAGTAATTCTCTGTTTCTTATTATAAGGTCACCAAAATATACAATTTTGAACCGATCATCAACAAAACACACTTAAAAATAACCAATAACAACCTCTCAGGTCTCGCGGCATTCGAGCATGAAGGCATCCAGAACATAACATCCCTGAAAGAACAGCTCGTAGCAGCCAACCACGAGCAGACACCCGCCATCGTGAAACGTCACGCTGACGTCATCTCGCGCTGGCAGCGGCTGCTGGCCGACTCCGCCTCGCGCAAGCAGCGTCTCCTGCGCTTGCAGGATCAGTTCAGGCAGATCGAAGAGCTATACCTTACTTTTGCCAAGAAGGTACGTAATAAATTCTTCACACCTTAGAAAACTATGTCAAACTATATCTAAATCTATTTTTTTTATTGTCTTGATTTTCATAATTGCCTCGAGTGACTAACGACCTCGACTAAAACGATTATTCCCTCGAAACATATTATTTAATGTATTGTATTAAAAAAAAAATATTACCTGTGCAGGCATCGGCATTCAACTCTTGGTTCGAGAACGCCGAAGAAGACCTCACGGACCCGGTACGCTGCAACTCCATCGAAGAGATTCGCGCGCTTAGAGATGCGCATGCGCAATTCCAGGTAACATCAGTCAACCTTCACTTTCCATTGCGTGGTCATAGGACCGAAACATAAAACTGCCATGCGACGTCGCATCACAGAAATCTACGAGCTCGCACGACGCATTGTAAGAATTTGCAAATTGCTCCGCATCGCGCATTCCTGCGATGTTAACTTCTTTGTGTTTTTTCCTATACTTTCTTATCAATAACAGCAGTGCAACACTTTATGATCCATGTCGCTACCTAGTTTAAAATATATGTTCAGTAAGGTTGATCGTCGAAATAATGGTTACCCAAACGACGGCAGTGAGATGCCTTGCCTCACGAAATCGCATTGCAGCAATTCGCGTCGCAGTTTTCTGTTTCGACATTAATCGAGTATTTACGTGTTTTTCTTAGGATTGAGAAATGTCACTCATAAGAGCTAATTACAAACTAAAACATTTTGATAGGCATCGCTATCATCCGCGCAAAGCGACTTCGAAGCTCTAGCTGCCCTGGACGAGCAGATCAAGTCGTTCAACGTGGGCGCCAACCCGTACACCTGGTTCACCATGGAGGCTCTCGAGGAGACCTGGCGCAATCTGCGCAAGATCATCGGTAAGTGTACTGTGCTTTATGACAGGAACTACTGCTTCGAAACTTACTTGTCTATTTCAATAAATATCTATACTAAAAACGTGTAAATGCTATTATTTAAGCACATGCTTAAATTCCATTGTAATAAAAAAAACCGTTTTAATACCCAACCAATTTAAAATGGTAAATAAATTTACCACATATAATAAACAACTTCAAAAGTATTGTGTGCAGAAATGCTAATGCATTCTGAACATTTTTTTTCTATAATCGAAATCACTAGATCTATTCTTAAAATACATTAGAAGTTATAACTTGCCTGTTTTTTAAAATGTATACCACGTTGTTTGTAATGTTTGTATACAAACATTTTGAGTTTCTTTTGATAGTGTTTGTATACTATGTTGTGCCTGTACAAGGGTATCATAACATATAAGGATTATAATGATATATAACGTCTTTTAAACTTATATGGTGCAATAAATTGATTGGATCAATCAGAAGATTTTATGTAACAATAGTCTTGTATTCTGGAAGCAATGAAGATTTAAGAATTCCCTCCACAGCATAAAAATAATAACGCACACACTCAACGTAGCCCCGAAATTAGGGAAACCCTGTGTCGCGGTTGCCATGGACATGGACATACATACACAACCACAAATTACACCCAAACTCACGAGAGAAATAAATGTAGGCCATACAAATATTTCTCCCGGCCCGGGAATCGAACCTGGGATCACTGCGTGGCAGTCCGGCATGGTAACCGTTCGGCCACAGAGGCAGTTAATATAACAGCATAAATTATTCAAAGAACATCAAGGTCTAAGCGTACTTTTGTTTTATAGCCGAACGTGATGTGGAGCTGACGAAGGAGGCGGCGCGGCAAGACGAGAACGACAAACTGCGAAAGGAGTTCGCTAAGCATGCCAACGCCTTCCACCAGTGGCTCACCGAGACTCGGTAAGTAATCTGTCCATAATCCCCTTAACTGCACGTAAACTTCTGAAGGCTATCGGGAAGTAAGGGAGTCAACAATTTTGTTGTAACCGTCGCAACCTAAAAGAATTACTGTGACGGTATTAATGTTCGATACTGAGAGCTTACCGTGTAGGGCAAAAAGAGGCATCGATGTTTCCGGTTCAGTGTTGATGTCACACTGTCTACCAATTCTTTCATTTTCATAAGAGTTTTTGTTATCTATCTCTCTACATAACGGATCACTTTTTAGAATAATTAAAATACAATTTATATGTATCTTTAAAGTTTGACATATAATTCAATTACTAATTGCTCTCTTAAACAATCAGACTGATTATGCGCCAAATCGCTGTCTTAGCCCAGTGGGGGAGCGATTGTTTCTTATTTGAGAAATCGACGTTTCGAATCCCTGGGACTTTTAATTTCAAATGCACGTACATTTGTGATTGTTTCGTAGCAATACATCTACTACTACTACGATAATTCTCGGATTCGTTTTCACTGTCTAATTTCCTTGGTTATTTTTATTATATAAGTATTCCGATATATTATGAATAAAATTTATTGTAAAACTGTAAAACTTGAAATGGTCACACAATTGTTACTTATCCGATTTTATTTGTACAAAAAAAACTTGCACGGTGCGTGAGACGCCAACGGGGGTGTCCGCCATCTTGCGTCAGACCAGCGCCGACAGATGCCGAGCGCGACAAAATTTTGCCCGCTTCGTGTACGGGTTATTACGATCCAATATTAATGTTACATTATTTAATATAATAATAACAATTCATTTATTTGTGAAAACACAGGTTAGATATGCAAGTTGAGATGTACAAAATGAGTAGGTATAGTTTCACTGTGTACGGCCAAACATTTGGCATACAAAGCATATTGAAAGTATATTTGGTATATGAATATTATAATACAGACATAATTACCGGTATTGACAATATAAAAATGAAGAAAAAATAAAAAAAATATTTAAAGTATTACATATGTTTATAATATCGTTAGTATTCAAGAATGTCATATTAATTATTAATGTCCAAAATAGTAAATATAATAAAAACAAATTAATTCATTCCAACAATTAAATTACAAAAGTCAAGCGGCTTTGTCAGGTGAAAAAGATTAAGTTATAGTGTCATTTAAGAATTCGTTGATGTCATAGTAACATTTATCTATTAATAAATTGCTCAACACATTTTGGAACTTATGCGTTTCAAGTGATTTTATACGATCAGGAATTTTATTGTATATGACCGGTGCGAGTTGAACAACACTCTTCCTAAGAAGAGCTGTTTTGCAGATCTTTGTGCTTAATAAGTGTGGTCTAGGACGTAAATAACGATTTTGTACCGTCGGTCTAACTGAGAAGAAATTTGAGTTCATTTTGACAAATCTAGAGATTTTAAGAATATACAGGCAAGGAAAAGTCAACAGTCTCAGTGTCGTATTCTAGAACTCTATTCAATGCTCAAGTCAGGATTTGAGCAGACTTGAGTATGATTTCTAGCACTGGAAATACAATCCTAATGGCAAGGACTTGAGTATGATTTCTAGTGCTTTGAATCATACTCAAGTCCTGACTTGAGCATTGAGTACAGTTCTAGAATACGACCCTAAGAGACTTAAAAAAAGGACGACAGCTTTCCGTATATTTTAATTCACAAATTGCTCGGACACATCGTTTTTGAGCTCTAAATATTGTGTTCCTGTAGTTAGAGTCGAGTACCAATAGTATCCTAAAATATTATTTAATATTTCACGATTACACGTATACTCGTGATAATAAAAAATGCCACGGAAATTAGACAGAGAACACGAACTCGAAAATTACTCTTTAACAATGAAGGAAAACAACGTGGTGAAATCTGCATATCGAAGAAACTTCGCAACTTTAGATAATTAGTAGAAAGAAACAGCCGCAATGGCAGCATTTCTATGCCATCAAAACATCTTACTCGTTTAGCCGACTGGCAAGTCTCTAAAGTGTAATCATCTGCACTTATGCACTGATGCACAATTATTTATGAACTATTGTTGAAATGGTCATTGGTGTGCAGGTACCGGCTGCTAGGCTGGGACGGGTAAAGTATCGAATGCTGCGTGCAAACGTACTAAAAAACTGCTTAATGTCCTGGCAAAAATTGTTTTCACCCTTATAATGTTATGGGAAAGATATTTGCCTTTCACTCAAGTTTAAGTGTGAAGCAAATCGATACCTCCCACGTAAGTTGCTGTTAGTCAAAATACTATATTTTACTTTTTAAATCAACTATATACTTTTTTATTCATATTTTTCCATATTTAAAAGTAAAGAAATCACTTATATTCCGTCCAACCGTTTATGTAACTTTTCACAGCTCGAATCCTAATCAATTAGTGATGCCCTAATGCGTTTCCGATTCGATTTTATATAACAATCGATTTTATTTATGAAGAAGTTTTAATCGTCAATTTGAGCGGGTTCCAAAAATAATATATTGTCTGTTTGGCATCGTGATGTTGCGTTTGACAATTTGTGTGCTCAAGAATTTGGTAAAAAATCCGACGATTCATTACTATAAACAATAAGAATTAATTACAATTAATTATAATTTACTTCATTTCATTATAATTTATTAGACAGGTACGAACTTTTATCAACTTGAATAATCTTCGTTACTTAATCTGTTGGCTGGATAATTAATATCGGAGGTATAGAGTACGTCGCTTCACTAAAATTAAAAAATAAAAGAGTCCAGGAAGTATTGCATTTTTTGTCTATGGTGTGTCAATAATTACGGAAATTCGGAGGCATGCATATGTCAAAAGTAACGTAAATGGTTGGACGCAGTAAAGCATTATTTTTACTTTCATACATGGAACTTATAATATTTAAGTTAAAAAGAAAAAAAATGGTATTTTGACTTACAACAACTTACATGGGAGGTATCGAAATAAATATAATGTTATAATTTAAACATCTAATGTCAAGTTATTAAGATTCTTTTTTTGCCTAGACACAAGATTAATCGTTGTTGTACGCACTACGAAGTTTTAAATGTCTCTTCAATTTTCAGACCTTCCCTCACTGTAAATATTTAATGACAATTCAATTTCTATCTGGGTGTTTTAACAGCTAATTCACGTTTTAATTCTGTCTAGATCCAATTATTTGTGCAATAATATGTAGTGATATAAATAACGTGGACAAGCTAGAGAGATAAGTTTAAAGAAATTGATTAACATTATAAATAAATAAATAAATAACGCACACACTCAACATAGCCCCGCACTAGGGAAACCCTGTGTCGCGGGTGCCATGGAGACACACATAGACAACCACAAATTACATCCAAACTCACGAGAGAAATAATTGTAGGACATACAACTATTTCTCCCGGCCCGGGAATCGAACCTGAGACCTCTGCGTGGCAGTCCGGCATGGTAACCGTTAGGCCACTGAGGCAGTTTATTGTAGTAGTTTACAATAGTATTGCTTATAAGCATCCATTTATGAGAATGTAATTTATAGGAAATGAAACTATTTTTCCGGATTTAAATCGCGAGTTTTTTCAAACAAACCTACGTTTCGGGCCCTCTACAGATCCCATGATCACGATCATGATCGTGGGACACAAAAAAAAACGTGGGACATGTGAAAAAACAAATATACGCGATTTATATCCGGAAAAATAGTTTCACTTCCTATGTGTAACAATCGCGAAATCCTAAGAGCTCGAAATGTAATTTATGTTAAGAAATTAATTTTTTTTAATGAAAAATACAGTAAATAATAATAAGTTAAACAGAAACTTTATGCAGCTTCTGCCTATTTGGATAACAAAAATCCAAGGCCCGCGTGTGACCCGTTAAGTTTCGATCTATGTATGATGTTTCAAATAGACGTTGCAAGTGATAAATGTGAACAAATGTCTGTTTACAATGAGCAACCCCTGGAGTTTTTGGCTCATTCTTCACAGGGGCAATCTGCCGTACGAATACGCAACAGTGTTTAGTCAATGTGACGATTTCAAATGTAATCTCCTTGCATATGAAACAAAGATATATTTGAACTTGAAGCTAGGAAGTTTATATTCTTACATCGCTGTCATTTTTACTAAATTTTTACCATACAACAAGCTACCTTTACACGCTTTTAAACTGAGCGGGTAGTCAAGGACGGCTGGCCGCGCACGACACTTATTTAGTCAAATAAGTCATTATACTATATCCATTGACAAACCAGCCGCTACCGCTGCGGACGATCGCGGCTAGTCGCTTAGTGGAAAATGGCATTTAGGCCCAAGAAACATAAAGGTAGCTTACGCTAATTACGAAAGTAAAAATAATAGTACACAATGCCCAATATATTCTTTAGTTTAATTCACACTATATAATGATAACACAACGTGTACGTACACGCCTAAAGCTTATCAGTGGCACTTTCCTATTTGCCTAACTTTTCCGTGTCCACTTCGTTTGCATACGTAGTGTTTATCAAGTATGCATTTGCAGCACTTCAATGATGGAGGGTACTGGTTCCCTGGAGCAGCAGCTGGCTATTCTGCGGCAGCGCGCTGGGGAGGTGCGCGCGCGCAGGGCTGACTTGCGTCGACTTGAAGAACTAGGTAAGATTTTTCTGTCACTTTCCATTTATAAATGGTTCTTTGGATCCTGTAATAATTATGTTAGCAGACAACGGCACAAATTTATAGAGCAAATATGTATGGAAACGTGGGAAGAACCTCTACGTACACATCTCGATCAGATTAGGGAAGTCCTCGAAAAAGGCAAATTTTTGATGTATCGATAAACGGACATCGTCGCTTAAATACGTAAACAGAATTACTAGCAGTAATTTTATGTGACAATCTATGATTATACCTTAAAAGTACTTATACCTACATTTTAAGCCTTAATTGCCCGATATTGCGCTTGAAGAGTAAAAAAGGGATTACGTCTAAAGACGAAGTTACGAGGTTTTAACATTTAGCAGACGACGTGTATTAAGAGATTGATGCGTGCGTTGCAAGGCTGCTTTCTATGCCTACCCTAATAGAAAAAGAGTGTGAAGTGCATGTGTGTTAAAATTAAGCCTCAGTTCACTACATTCATAACTGTTTGTTACTTTGTACTCTAGGAGCGGCACTGGAGGAGCATCTGATCTTGGACAACCGCTACACGGAACATAGCACAGTGGGCCTGGCCCAGCAGTGGGACCAGCTCGACCAGCTTTCCATGCGCATGCAGCACAACCTCGAGCAACAAATACAGGCTAGAAACCATTCTGGTAAGTTTTTTTTATATTTATAAATTTTTGTTCTTGGAAAAAAGACAACAGAGCACAGTAGATATGACACAGAAAGCAGAAAAGTGTAGGTAAAGGTGTCAAAAGAAAGCACGTTGTTACTACAACACTAATGAATGGGAGTTTAAAATTTGATGTAAATTGGATTTTTGACATCACACAAATTGACCGTCAGGATGACTGGTCTCCTATCGCATCTGGCACGGAGTGTATATTCAAGAATTGCTAGTATTTGCTACCTTTTCTAAATAATTGCTTCCTTTGATATATTCTGAGAAATTAAAAAAAAATTGACCAACTATTCTGACGTCAGAATGGCTGGTCGCCACTTTGTTCAGCATGAAGGGAGCAGATTTTCCAGAAGTATGTATTACGAATAATTGCCACCTATTTGCTACTTTCACGAATTAAAGGTATAAGCTTCCTATCTACAAACGATTGAAAATTTTACGAAGAAGTGCCTGATTAAATTATAAAAGCAAAAGTTTTTAACCAAGCTCCTAGCTTGCATTCGATAAATACTCTATCGACTGAATAAGAAGCATTTGTGTATGTGAATGAAAGGAATATTGGTTTCGATCATTCAATAAATAGTCGAACTCGTTTCATTTGCAGGATGGTAAAATATCCCAATAGGTGAAACTCCATCCAGATATCCACTTTTATCTTAATGAAATGGGGGTAGTTTGTGGTGTCGGTTTTTCTAGTGCGAGGCTATGAGTGTGTGTAAAAAAAATAGTAGTGGTCCAATTGTCAAAATAAGAATAAAGAAGGCAATAACGCAATTATTAACCGTAAGAACTTCATATTGCAAACTTTTACACCCTTTTGCAATCTATCGATAAAACTGTCGACAACAACTACATGACTAATTAAAATTTTACGAAAACTGCCTACTTTGCAGATGTCATTTTATTCAGTCTTAGAAAAGCAGACTATAGACGAGAAGGTTCCGGATCGGATTCCCAGTAAGACCATTGGGAAACGAATTTCCCTAAATCGTTACTTGTCTGGGTGTACTGGGTAGCTTCAAAATCTTGGGACCAGGCACTCTTCTCCCGTTTTCAAATGTCAAATATGTAATACACGCCCAATTTAAAAGACGCATGATGCGTATGAAGCTTCATACTTGACAGTATTTTGATTTGGTCGAATGTTACTTATTTGACAGTAATTGTTTTGGACGGAAGTCGGACAGAGAATGGGAGTAGACTCAATACTCAATATATTTATTGTCTTCATATGGTACATAAGGTCTTAAAATTAAAATAATGTTACACATATGAGCCCTGTCTTCGGCATAACAACAAGAGCAGAGTCAGGCCGAGGCTTAGAATATTCACTTCAATTGTTCACTATCAATATATATATGTATAATAGAAGTATATCACAGAAAAAATTCCGATTAAATAACAATATTATTTTTTTATGAAAACTTTAATAACATTTTGTCATTAAAGTATTCACTTAAATTGTAATAACATTTATTAATTAGGTATAATTTCAATTTATTAAGAAAGAGTGAATACTTTTTCTCGTTCTTAATTATTGGCTTAACGGTCTCCCGACCGTTGAATATCTTCACCGACATTGAGTGGGGACCTGAGCTGTGTAATTGTAGATAAGATTGTGGCAGAAGCAATCTATTGCGTGGTCTGAAAGTATGTCCTTGGGGCAGGTCGTCAAGATTGGTGTAGAAGTCAGGGTGCTGTTTTATTACAAATCTCGAGAATATAGATGAAAACTAAAGTTAAGATTTTAAATTGTTTGATCCCGAGACCCCGAGCTCATTCGCGTTGTCTTGCAAATTATAATTATTAAATTTCCAATTATTTTCATTACTAAATTTCAATTTAAATGTGTTAAATTCTTTCAATGCAACGCGAAGATAATAGCCTTGGGTATCTTTATTTCCTTTTTTACAGACTTCAATAAAAAGGTTTTCAATTTGACTGCTTCTTTCTTGTGTGTATGTTACGTGGTATGGCATTTGTGAACCCATTTCAATAATTCTTTTTTTGTTGTTAAAAAGGGGGCCCATTTAAATTTGAAGAAAATATAAATAGGGACTGAAGCCGGTTTCGCGCACTTTCCGGCAACCGATTTTAATAAAATAAAACTTGGCAAATAGATGTCATTCCACGAACTTTTGAGATCGGTTTTTTTTTTATAAACAAAAATAAAATTTTTATCTGACAAAGTTTTAAAAGGGACACTCATGTAACAGCGTTTGTACCGTTCCATACACACATTAGCAGTTTTGTGCCTCGATTAGGCAAGATTCAATAATCCAATTTATTTGTTCATTTTCCAGGCGTAAGCGAGGATGCGCTTAAGGAGTTCTCCATGATGTTCAAGCACTTCGACAAGGACCGGTCGGGACGGCTCAACCATCACGAATTCAAGTCGTGTCTGCGCGCACTCGGTTATGACCTGCCGATGGTCGAAGAGGGGCAGCCCGACCCCGAGTTCGAGGCCATACTCAGTGAGTACCACCCTTATTTTTTTAGGATAAAAATTTAGGAAATTGTAGAGGATACGTAGTCTAGGCACCTTAGTATATATCGTCGGCTCAAAAGTTTTTCCTATTTCATTGGGAAGAACATTTACGACAGATGAAAAGTAAGTGCGTAGTGTCCTTCATTATAATACAGTATATCGAAAAAAGTTAGTAGCAGTAGAGCTCCTTGTGAAAATACAGGGAAGTACTGCCGCCTTATCTATTTCTGCCGCCAAGCAGTAATGTCCGCATTACTGCGTTACGGTTTTTAAGGGTAAGGGTGCTGGTGAAATTACAGGCACATGGGACTTGTCAACTTATGTCTCACGGTGACGGGCGCCAATGGTAGTGCCCCTCAGCTCTGAGTGGCACTGTAACTGTTATGGACAAGCGTGTAGCTTACCATTTATTAGCACGACTTGAACGTCCCGTCACTTGATGTTTTTGTGTAAAACACAAAATCTTGATCGTCAATCGTTTTTTTGCCTTTGAGGCAGTCATCACAGGTGAAACGCAGAACGGCATGAAGCCGATCAGAAGAGATTATCAGACGTTCTTTCGTACGAACGCGGCCCAACACGATTCGGCAACGAATCTGCTTCCTGCCAATTTCCGATCGCGTCCGTACGCATGCCGACTGCGACTGATCCACGGGGTCTAGTCCCGTCCTTCGTTCTAAAGAATTGCTGTCAAATAGGTAATACTTGACCAAATCAGAAACCAATGTGAATATTCATTCACATCATGCGGCTATTAATTTAGTCGAGTATTACGTATTTGTCGGTCATTGTGTCAGACGGAGAACGGCAGTAGACCCCCTGGTTTAGAAAGAAATGGCGCGACGGCGCGCGAACAGCCACGTCAACGACGAATCGGCTTAATGCGACAAGTGTCGATGTCAATTGTGAAACTTTCCTTATTCCATCCAACAGACGTGGTGGACCCGAACCGCGACGGACAAGTCTCCCTGCAGGAGTATATGGCGTTCATGATAAGCAAGGAGACGGAAAACGTGCAGACCTCCGAGGAGATCGAGAACGCCTTCCGCGCAATCACCACCCACCAGGACCGCGCCTACGTCACCAAGGATGAGCTATATGCTGTAAGTATACGTATAAGATATTTAAACGTTTTCTTAATTTCTTCGGTAAAACCACTATCTACGGCCCTCCAAATTTACCTCGACAAATAACTGAGTTACTACGTAGTAAAAGGTCGTAAAATTTGAAGCAGTAGACTCTAAAAATCACGTCATTTACAAACTGACACCCAAATTTTTGTTCAATTTGACAGAACCTGACGAAGGAGATGGCGGATTACTGCGTGGCTCGAATGAAACCTTACGTAGAACCGAAGACGGAGCGGCCGATCACCAACGCGCTCGACTATATCGACTTCACACGCACCCTCTTCCAGAACTAAGCACGTCAGCCCGCCGCGGCTGCCCGCGACATACTGCCTAATTTAAGCATTAAACCACACCAACTAAACTCTTGCTTTTATTTATGTAACGTCACTACCCCCACCTAACTTACGGAATAAGGTACGGGCAATATGCCACGGGCAGGCGCTGCTACAGATAAACTTATCTCTTTCACAAGTATAAATCTATTCCAATTTCAAATACGACTGTCTTGCATTTGAATATTAGATAGTCATTCGAGAAGTTGTCAAAGCTGATGTTTTGGGTTCTGGAAGAAGCATGCGAAGCGTTAAATGCTTAACGCCAATCGCGCGGCTGCGTCATTGTTGTTGCTACTCGAGTAGCTTGCCATAGCAGCTATGAGAATTCCTTTTCTCTGATTAGCAGAGGAATAAGAAGCTCTTTCTTCGAGCCCTGACCTTCAGCTTTCGATAGAAAATATTTCAAAGTCTAAAAGCTGCTTTGTTTTGCTAAGTAAGATTTAAAGGACAACATTGTCCCCAATCACTATTTATCAGTGTTATACGCTGTGCTAAGATTTCTATTTATTTTTTGTACTCCTTATAAATCTTATATATAATTTAAATAAACGTATTTATTTTAATCTGGTTTTCATTAAAACTGCTATCTTAACATATTCCATATTTATTTTTACTATCATATGTATGTATATTTGATCATAATGTCTATATTAACAGTTCATAAGTTACATTTATTTTAAAAAGTACACTATCCAATTAAGATTGAGTTTTCATATAAAATTATGTACTAATTACGTATACAACCTATACCTACTTAATTTTAGCGTCGTTTTGGAATTTAGCCTGTTAGCAGTAGGTAGTGGTCAGATATTCTTGTACCTAAAGTTTATTTTTTCACATGAATGCTACCAAAGTATGGAAGCAGGCTACTTTAAATATCTTTTTTTTCTTTTAAATCCCGATATACCGAAATATCGTGATGTTTCTGATTTTGACTCACTATAAATTTTACTGGTGGTGACCAATATGACAACTGAATATCAGTACTATGAACAGCTAGAAGTTTCAAACTTAAAACCATGGCACAATGGTTTCAACTATTGCATGAATTATAATTAGAAGTCCAAAATGCAAAGAAAGGAATGTCATGAAATGTCCTGGTCAAAGTGTGAAGGCAGGTACGCTAAACCTTATACTTTGAACCATTTGAACCATTCGAGAAACGAACCACGAATTACATCTATGGCACGACAAAATGTCGGCACAAAAAATGTTTTAGACCCCGATTGAGTTACCAGTGTCATAAAATTATTTACGACCTTCAATATGCTTCAACTGCCTCCGTGGCCGAACGGTTACCATGCCGGACTGCCACGCAGAGGTCCCAGGTTCGATTCCCGGGCCGGGCGAAATATTTGTATGGCCTACATTTATTTCTCTCGTGAGTTTGGGTGTAATTTGTGGTTGTCTATGTGTGTGTCCATGGCACCCGCGACACAGGGTTTCCCTAGTGCGGGGCTATGTTGAGTGTGTGCGTTATTATTATATTATAATATAGTCTTTTATTATAATTATTTGATTAAACGAAATTAAATAAATTGCCCGGATAAGCCGAAAAGCGCTATCTCAATCAGAGTAAGTTTTGAGAAAATCAACTGTTTGTAAATTGTATTTAAGCACCTTCAAAAATAAATCTTTTTGAAGATGTCAAAACTTATTTTGTACGTATTTTTGACTAATAGATTTATTGACATACCTAAATTATCCATAAATTGTACCATTATACCTATGTATATTGTGAGATACCGCTATTTTGATTATAAAGAAAGCCGCCAAATCCATAAGTAATATAAGAAAAAAATGAGATATCAAAATACTTCTTAGTGGTTTTTTAAATGTTTTAAGTTAGATAGCGCTATTTCTATTATACCATTAGATGCAAAATTATTATAGCTATTGAATGGTAAAAAAAAAAACTAAAAGGGAGTATATCTCAGAGTTAGCGCCTTTCGGCTTAGCAGGGCAGAATATACATTGCAAAATCTGAATTGTTCCAAGTTTTATCAGATTATAATTTGAAAAGAGTTCTAAATATTTATTTTCCTCGAAAACGGGAAACTACCATTTAATTTATTATATATACCATTAGTTATCCTCTTTGTTCACATTCTGGACATCTAATTATGATTCTTACTGTAAATAATATTAAAACTAAATTTTTAATGTTTAATGCAACTTCTGGCATTAAACATTAAAAATTTAGTTTTAATTTACATTTTTCACGATGTTAACTTAAAACAAATAACATGATATTCATATTTATTGTGAAAATACTTCACCAGTTCGTTGTTATTACTGAAGACCTGTGAGATCTACGAAAGACAAATTTCTCAGAGATAAAAGTCCTACAACGGGCACATAGATAACTTGTAAAGATTGTTAACTCGTTCCGCAGCTCAGTTGGAAGAGCAATAGCCCCAGCAACGGGTCGATCTAAAGAATTTAGTCAATCCCGGTATCGCGGGATTTTTTCAATAACAAAGTGCAATCTAAATATGTTAGCGAGCAACCAAATTGTAGGCAAATAAGCATCCGAATATCTGACCACTGGTTATCAGTCAGCCATAGTCGTAACAACTGTAGTGTTTTCTTTGAAGACGGAGTAAAATGACATTTGCAAGGTTGCCAGTTTTCATACAATTGTAAATAGTCATGTAGTTGTCGACAGTTTTATCGATAGATTGTGACAGGAGGTAAAATTTTGCCAAAAATTTCTAAACTGTGAATACGTGCTAATGACTGCTCATTGCGTTATTGCCTTCTTCATTGTTATTTTGACAGTTGTACTAATAGTATCGAAATAAATTTTTATTCATATTCATTTTAATAATAACAGGCGGATTTGTTTATCTATATTTTAAAATATCTCTCCTCTTTGCATTTTTAATAGATATAGTTCTAAATGCAGTGCTTGTATATAATAATATGAACTTACAAAAATTGACAATTCAAATGAACTTGTGTCCAGCAGTTGGACGAAAAATGGGGAAACAAGGACAATTATGTAAATATGCAACAATGCATAAGCGTAACCGACATTCAGTCGACAGTCGACAGAATATTTATCGACTGCAATCACTAGCTCGCAAGCGGGCAACACTTTTGCGTAATAAACTGTCAATTTACTCCATCTTCAAAAAAGACGGACTACATAATTATATTATATACATTATTTAAGCCTGCAGAGCTCCTTGTGAAAGAGTTCGTCCAGGGAAGTAATGCCACCTTCTTTTCTGCCGCTAAGCGGTAATATGAGCGTTACTGCGTTCCGGTTTAGAAGGGTAAGGAAGCTGGTGAAATTACAGGCACATGGGACTTGTCAACTTATGTCTCAGAGTGGCGCAATGGCTGAGCCTCTAAGATCTTTAGCTCCGAGTGGCACTGCAACTGTTGCGGATAGGCGTGTCGTTTACCACCAGGTGCACGACTTGTTCGTCCTGTCACAAGTACAAAGTCTAATATTAAGGTTTTAATGAAGTCAACAGTCTTTCTTATTAAGTAAGTATTGAGTACCCACGATTACTCATTGATTGTTGCCAAAATATCCACTTATTAATAAACGTCACTCGGCTCTATTAAGTCCTGATTCCTTAATCAGTCACCACATTTCTTGTTACGGTATTACATTAAGTCGGTCTGAAAAAACTTTCTCTTAGGATTTTTCCATGTAATAGGATGGAAGCGAAACGCGCTACGTGTTTTTCGCTATTATTCCACGGACTTAAAAGCTTTTTCTGACGGGCTCGAGCCGATTACGCGTTAATAACATAGTAGTGTGGAAACAGCTTAGTCAAGTGATTGTAATCTTATAAATATAAGAGAGCTTGAAATCCGAGTGACTACTTTGACGATACACATTTAATATCGGACATAAAAGCTCTTTTAATACGTGTCTCAATTAAAAAATAGTACTTGACAGATACGCATTTTTCAGTTGCAAAATGAATTGTCTTTGGCTGTATAAACCGAAGCTCTTAAATAAATAATTTCAGAGTTTGAAAAAAATATTATGAGTCGTTAACGTCAAACATATACAAATTGCACAAACAAACCAGCGGTATGTGTCTGTACACAAAAACCGAATCTTGTTTTTCAGAATTTATATACACATATACGATAGTTGGGGTGCGTACAGATCTGGCGAATGTACTGCATGCGTGCTGCTTGCGTGCAGCTAGTATATGTGGCGCGCGAACAGATCGGACTACGTAGTGCACGTGCGCAGTTCGCGAGCCTTTAGCAAACAGGTGCATTTGCAACCCATTCGCCAGATCTATACGCACCCTTACAGAACAACAAGCGGGTACACAAGATACAACTAGTCAAGCATCCTACTTATCAGTTCAAGGGCACCATTTGGAACTTAGTGAATTTAACCACTACACACAGACACCTTAATTCACCGAGTATTACATGGAAAACTCCAATAATTTCACCTCAACAAATATTACAAATTATTCTACGTCAGCAATCTTTGTAGGACAAGTTTGTACTCTTGTGGCGTGAGCGCGACTTGCAGCTTCTCGATCACGGCTTGCGGCAGCTTTGGCTGCGGCGAGGGTTGGAGCTGCGGCTGCAAGTACGGAATGGCCAGCAGTTCACGAACTGTAGGTCGCTGCCGTGCGTTGTATGTTAAGCACCATTTGAGCGCCGATATTAGTGATGGAGGGAGGTCTGCAGATAGAAAAAAATTTGGGGCTTTTCAAGGCTAGAATGAAATCCGACATCTCTATTTCACGCATTGACTGCATGCATATTGAATTTAAATTAAAAATTTTAAATTATGTCTCCTCATTGTATTATTCATAAACATAGTTCTAAGGGTCGAAACACAAAACTGAGATGCGACGTCGCACGACACGACGCGTCGCAAGAATTTGCGAATTGCTCCGCATCGCGCATGCCCGCCGCACGAAATCGCATCGCAGCAATTCGCAGTTTTGTGTTTCGACCCTAAATACAGTTTATGTATGTATGAACTTATAAAAATTCACAATTCAAATGAACTTGTGCTCTGTAATTGGATGAATAATGAGTCGAGGATGATTCAAATGAAACAAGTTCGGCTAATTATTCCATAAGCGTGACCAATATTCAATCGATAGTCGACAGAATATTTATCGATTGCAATCTCTAGCTGCTCGCAAGCGGGCACCACTTTTACGCAATGAACTGTCATTTTACTCCGTCTTCAAAAGAGACAGACTATAAGTATATTTACAACCCTACACTAGGTGGGACTTTTTTTTAAATAATACTAAATACGTGCGCCTGCGACACTGTGACTGTCAAGCGACACGCCTGTCCAAAGCAGTTGCAGTGCCACTCAGAGCTTTAAATCGCAAAGATCTGAGGTACACTGCCGCTACGCCTGTTATCCTAAGACAAGTCCCATGTGCCTGCCTGTAATTTCACCAGCACCCTTACCCTTCAAAGCCGAAACACAGTAAAGCTCACATTACTGCTCGGCGGCAGAAATAGGTAAGATGGCAGTACGTCTCTGCACAAACACTTTCACAGGGAATTCAACTACAGGTTCGATTCCCGGGCCGGGAGAAATATTTATATGGCCTACATCTATTTATCTCGGGGTGTAATTTGCGGTTGTCAATGTGTGTGTCCATGGCACTCGCGACTCAGGGTTTCCCAAGTGCGGGGCTATGTTGAGTGTGTGCGTTATTATTAAAGGTGTAATTCTAATATGCTAATACTATTTTACATTACTTTCTAAATTTGTTATCTCTAATATTACGACTGAAGAACTTGAATTTTTTTATCATTTAAGTGTACTCACGCTGCACAGGCGGGTATTCAATCCGATGATTAGGATCGAGTATGGCAGCTAACTTGGCCAGGTTAGGGATGTGTCCGAAGGGCGTGCGCCCGTACACCATGCTGTACAGAATGCACCCCAATGACCACACGTCCGACCGAAATGAGATCTAGACAAAACATAATTATTAAATTAATTTACTTCCTTTTTTTCCTTGTACTTACGAGCGATGGACAAGCGGGGGCCGAGCATTGCGAAACTTGGAAATATTTAAATCCGTTACCCATCGTACGGAATTATGCCTTATATATAGAAAGAAAGAGTCCTATATATGATAACACTTATGGATCCTAGTTATCTGAATAAATGAATTTGAATGTGAATTTTGATATGAGTTATACATTGCGTTGGATTTCTTTGATAGTTTGATATCTAGCAAGCTTGATATTTCCACGCAAGCAACAAGGAACGTTTGCGGAGCACAGCACCACTGGCCAATCACAGAGCAGCAGCCGGTTCGGAAGTGTCGACAACCCAAACAAAAGCAAGGCGCCGCGCATGCGCGCAAGTCTCTCCGCGACACGAAGCGGAAGACACAAGAACGTCTTTGCGGATGGCAGATTTCTACGCCGTGTACTCGGCTAACGCAAGCAACGAAAAACGTGAACCTGGCATTAGCATGGAGAAACGCGCCAGTAAATAGATCCTAGATTCTATGAACATCTACCCATAAATCTAAAGTGTTAGAAATCGTTTCATACCCGATATAAAGTCGTTTTAGTGGATAATGAATTCTCCAGGAGAAATTGTAATTTTATTTTTATTTGACGCTGTCAAATTTGAACAATATTTTGTTTTTTTTTTACTTATACTATTTTTATCGAGTTCTTAGGTATTCGCGATTGTTACGCATTAATGAAACTATTTTTCCGGATTTAAATCGCGTATATTTGTTTTTTCAAACAGACCAACGTTTCGGGCCCTTTACAGGTCTCATGGTCACGGTTGACAGACTGATTGCGTCTTTAATGTACTATATTTTATGCTGCCCGTTGCGATAAAAAAGTTTGATAGTAAACAAACTCATGAATGCTAACTGTAGTTATTTTAATTACCTACGAATTACCATGACACCCAAATAGATATAGATACGTATGTAACACTATTTATCGTTAAGATTTACAAAATTCACATTAACCATATTTTGTATTAATTTGCTGTTATAATAATTTTGTTACATTATTTTAAGAAAGTTTTACATCTGGCAACTATTCTGACATTAAAACAAATTAAACTGTAAGTCCCCAACCCGCATTAGGCCAGCGTGGCGGACTATGGCCTAAACCCTCGTCTGAAAGGAGACCCGAGAGAGGGTTGATGATGATAAAACTGTAATTTGTTGGAACAAGGTTTAAATTTACGTGAACTTATTCGACTATAACCCGTTTTATTCCGGCTTCTTGACCGTGATTTCTTTAGATGTTATGAAGCGGATTTTTGCTGTGTGCGTAGATTTCATGAATGAAATAGAACCCGTAGATCCGCCGGCTTACCTCGCGCTGATTGGTTGAAATGGGACAAGTTATGACGCGTTTATAGTGAATATTTTGAATACGTTTGTTAAGTGGTGGGGTATGCGCGCTGTTTAGTACAATCTTTTGGTAATACGCGGAAAATGTTAGGCAAGCTGTTGGGAATCGAGTTATATGGACGCCTCGGCACTGGTAGGTGTTCGTAGAATGGAAATTTGGGAGTGCAACAGGGGGTTTACCTTGATAGGCGCTTCACCATTAGAGGCGCCGTAGCCGCCGGCGCCGCCCATGAGCGCCTCCGGGCTGATGTAGGAGTAGGTCCCCGTGGCCTGCGCGCGCACCACGCTAGTCGCGTCACCGCTGATCGCCGACGCGATGCCGAAGTCAATGAGCTTCAAACGTCCACTCACTAGAAGGAAGTTCGCCGGTTTCAGGTCCGCATGGATTACACCTGAGCAAAACATTTAAATCAGTTCATAAAAACTCCATAGTTAAAGGCAAAGGAGGCGTGTGCTGCCTCGGTTAGGTTTTAGATGCTATTACGGAAAGATTTTGTTTTATAATATCAAGTGACGGGACGAACGATTAATTATTTAACCAGCGACTTCACAATTATTATTATTATTATTTTATTATTCATTTATTTGGATCTCCAATAAAGAGTACACTATACATTACAATAAGATATACAAAACATATAAACAACATTAACATTCTATAAAAATACTTATTAAGAGAGAAAAGAGAATCCATAACTATTATTCTGCTCTTCCATCACGTATACCACCAGTGGCGTAGCGTGCCTGTAATTTCACCAGCACCCTTTCCCTTCAAAACCGGAACGCAGTAATGCTCACATTATACAAGATGGCAGTACTTCTCTGTACGAACTTTCTAACATGGAACCCTACTACGACTAAATATATTCGAGTCTGGAGTGCTTTTTTTTCTAGTAGTCGCTACATTTGTTCGTAATAACCTCGGTCTATTTGAATTTAACAAGAGTGCACGTCGCAAAGACAAATTAATACTCCCACAACCGATCCTAGAAATGTTTAAAAATGGTCCATACTACAGAGGAATACAAATTTATAATAAAATACCCATTCGTATAAAAAAATAGTCAAAACAGTTTATTCACCTCCAATCTAAAGTCACTTCTAATAAAAAAAGCGTACTATTCTGTCTCAGAGTTCTTGCAATATAACAAAAGATCTCATTGTGTTTAACCTACGCACATATTAAGTACCCTGTTCGTAACCAAGTAGTTTTTTAACACACATAATATTAATTATTGGAAATACATTTTTAAGATTTAAGTATATTTTGCTGTGCCCTGACATGCCATGTGGTTCTAAAATTTCATGTTACAAGTATTTTTGTACCATGGTTGCAATAAACGTCATTTCGTTTCATTCGAAATAAACAATACTCGACCAAATCAAAACACAACGTCCAGAATGAAGCTTCATTTGCATCATGCGTCTTTTAAGTTGGTGGAGTATTATTTTAGTATATAATTTGACTGTAATGGTTTCGGACGGAGAAGAGAGTACATGGCCTGTTTGAAATGTATTTGTCAACTTGTGTTTATGTTTTCTTTTCTTTTTTTTTTAACACACACTAATAGCTCGGCACTATGGAAACCCTGTATCGAGGGTGCAATGGACACACTCATGAGTTGACAACCACAAATTATACCCAAATTCACGACAGAAATAAATATAGGCCATACAAATATTTCTTCTGGCCCGGGACCTCTGCGTGGCAGTCCAGTATGGTAACCGTTCGGCCATGGAGGCAGTTAATGTAGTATGTTGAACACACATTTGATCCAAAAAAAATTGTCTAACTCTGGAATGTGTGACATATTGGTGCACTGTCAATATTGTTAATCTAGAAACAGCAGATGGGATTGATACCTACCCACATTTTTTGTTTTTTATTTTTATTTTTCTTTAAATTGAGGCGGATGGCCTCAATTTAAAAAAGAAGAAAAGAAGGGCCAGGTCAAGAGTACCCTTAACCGACGAGCGTGTATGAAAGCATTGATGCGTGTTGATGAGGCGAAAGATGTGTGTCAGGACCGTAGCAAGTGGAAGACTGTTGTCTCTGCCTACCCCGTTGGGAAAAAGGCGTGAAGTATATGTATGTATGTTAAATAGCAAGAGTTTAGTTATTATTACAAATGAGTCACGTTAGCGTAATTATTAATATTATTTTTTGTGTGTATTCTTCTTTCAACTTCAACTTTTGTATCTATGGCTCCGTCGTTTTGCGCGACGATTTTGCCAACGTCAGGGTTGAAAGACATGTAGAGCGGTGGTGAGATAGATTGCCGGTTATTAAAATACTTCGTTATTATTCGTTATTTATATATATATATATATATATATATAATATATATATATATAACCGTCAATGTGATATTTTAATGACATTACAAAAATATAATTTGAGGGCTCATGTTATTTTCTTTCTTTTTAGGAAGAGATTGTTAGTTTTTTTTAATTTGTTTAGTTTGTAACTTTTAATTTATTTACCGAGATGGTGAATGTGTACGGTTAAACCAGAAATGGTTTTGTTATTAGCAGCTTAGATTTAAGTTCTTCTTTTTGCACACGTTTCTTAATAATAAAAAATCCATCTATCAGTAAAACAAACGGTCTCGCTTAAAATAACACCAACCATGTTCATGGATGTAGTGTACGCAGTGGAGCATCTCTTCCCAGTAATGCAGCACGAGCGCAGGCGGAAGCGAGCCCGCGCGCGCTTTCAGAAACGACGACAGGTCCGTCTCGCCCACCTCCAATACCATACGCAGGAATTGATTTGCCCGGTCATATTCACTACGGAATTGTCACATGATTAAATTACTTAAATCACATAAATGTATTGAAGAGAATAGTTTTCATGATTTTTTATTGCAAAAGATAGTAGGCGATGGAGCACGCTCACCTAAATAATGCGTATACACTCTCGCTTTGCAAAGGTTCAAGTTATAGCATTCAAACTCTAGTCTGCAGCCAGGGAATTCCACTTTATACCCGTCTGCCACATTTATGTGTATAAAGGTGGTGCTAGTATGACCAACAACGTATGTAACGCTTTCTATGTTTTTTCTTTCTGTTTCTTTGTAGATATTGTAGTGATTTAAAGTATTTTTTTTAAGAATAAAAATCACAACTCTCATATATTTGCGAATGACGGCCTCCGTGGTCGAGTGGCTTGCACACTGATTTTCATGGTGTCGCCATCTCTGAGCACCCGGGTTCGATCCCCGGCCCGGTCAGTGTAGAAAACTAAATTTTCTATATTGTCTTGCGTCTGGGTGTTTGTGATACCGTCTTTGTTTCCGATTTCCATAACACATGTTCAGCTACTTAAACCTAAATATACTAAATATATTTACTTACCTAAACATATTTGAATATTTATTTATTTGTTATGTGGAAACCTAGAATGTTTCACCTTTTCCATATAACAAATAAAATTAGAATTATATTTTTTTCTTAAAAAAATATACTTTAAGTCGCTCTCCTGTAATATTTTCCAAATGCACGTTAGACTTTTAACCTTTCCGATATAATTCGATATAATTTATGTATAAAATAATTAAGTTTTTGACATCTATTAATACATTCAGCTAGGAAGATGAAAATCAAAATTGTAAGATTTTATTTTATAATAATTTATTGCATATCCCATCCAGGGTGAATTCCGACTATGAAATTGAATTATTACTCAAACTCGAATGTTTGCAATCTCTCCCTTGAAATAAAAAAATCTGTAGGGATGACACAGTTCTATAAAAAAATTTAAGTTGGTTTCATACAATGGCGATTTGAAACTTCTATTGAACAAAATTTACCACCGATTTCAAGATTAATAATATCAATAACCTAATAGAATTTCGGAAAAAAATATTGAGATTGTGATAATAGTAAAAGGTGACTGTAAACAATCTGAGGTGACAACCCTAAAAATCATGTTTTCATTGCCATTTCCTACATCGAATTTGGCTACAGTATAGGACAAACAAGTCGCGCGTCTTCCGGAGAGTTCCCGCCCAGTCTCTGGAATTCTCGCAGCTACCGTATCGTATCTAATTGGTATATCACTCAATCGAAATAAAGTTCAATATGCAAAGTACAATTTCGTTACAATAATTCGCTTCCATTCCATTCTGCAGCAATGTAAATTGAGCGTAAATGAGAAACAATAGATAAAATGTAATGTCTTACTAGTCATAAAGCCTGATAACCCTGTTAGAATCTTGCAGCTCTCTCAATAGCCGCACCTCGTTGATGTAGCCCTGCGCCAGCTCATGGTCCGTGGCCAGATACACACATTTCACGGCATACTCGCATGATGTCCCTACTTCTAACACCTGAAACAAACAATTAGTGGTAGCTTTAGCTTAAGTACATACCTATAAATTTAAATTCATATATGTATAAAATTAAATTCTATAATCTCGTATAAAATTTTTCAAAATGGCAGTTTCACCCTTTCTACAAAACCGACGATATTAAAGCATTTCACAGTATTAGCAAGGAGTTATTTATAAAAAGATACAAAACTTATATATGCCTCCTACTTCTATCCTGTGTATCCATAATCCTATGCTGGAACATGCTTTTCAAATTTGGTGTCCCTATTTTAAAAAAGACATTCTTATGTAAAGAAGACGAGAGAGAAGGTTCAGAGGAGAGCAACAATGGTTCAGTCCTTAAAAAGCATATCTTTCAAAGAACGCCTCCAAGAATTAAAATTGACTACTTTGGAACAACGAATGAACAATGAGATCTCATAGAGACTTACAGAATACCCAATGGGCACAATAATGTGCAAAACATGAAGGATATGTCCCTAATGAATCACAACTGCCAATTGAGAGGTGACTCTCTGAAGCTAACCAAGCCTCCATGAGTTAGCAATCCCAGAAAACACTTCTTGCCACTTTGCATTTCGAACTTGTAGAATTTGCTCCCAGAAACAGTAATGAATAGTTTCAAAGCTACAATTGATAAGCATTTTGAAAACTAACAATATACAAATGCAGTGATATACACGCATCAGCTCATAGAGCTACTAGTGTATTATTTAAATAATAATAATAATAATGATATGGTGCGACAATAGGGTGCCAACCCCTCATAGAGGAATGGCATAAGTGGAGTTACATCAAACATGTTTATTGCTCCATTAGATACAGAACAATATAACCCACAACCTCTCCAATTCTTGTAACTCTATCTACACTATTAGTCGCTAAAGTTACAAGAATTGGAAGCAAAGAAGAATGAGAAAAGCATTAAATACTCAATGTACTTTTGAATGGTTCTTTTATACATGTTGTAAGTGCGCATTTGACCTCCATCTCACCTGATGGAAGGTGACAATGAGGTAGATGATGGGGCATATAATTACATGCTGCAGGCCCAAGCAAGTATGCCCTCAGTTTTGTATGAAAAACTTACTTTTCTAGTTACTTTATGATAATCATAGGGTGGTATTCCAGAACTCTACTCAATGCTCAAGTCAGGTCAAAGTCAAAGTCAAAGTCAAAGATTATTTATTCCATAGGTAAAATAAATTTACACTTGAAAACGTCACATTTAAGCTACTGCTCGTTCACTACGCTGACCTCCCTGAGAAGAACGAGCAAGAAACTCTAGGGATTGCTCTTTTCAAATAAACTTAAATGCTATGGAATACACTTTGAATCAAATTTGTGTGGATTCTGGAGCCATGTCGTCTTTCCATACATCTTTATCTAACACGTAGTCTTCAATTTTGTAATATGATTTTTCGATCAAAATATTTTTAATGTAGTTTTTAAACTTAGGAAATGATAAACTTAATATATGCTCCGGAATCTTATTGTAAAAAAATTTTAAACAGGATTTGAGCAGACTTGAGTATGATTTCAAGCACTGGTAATACCACCCTAATGGCAAGGCCTTGAGTATGATTTTCAGTGCTCACTGCAATACTCAAGTCCTGACTTGAGTATTGAGTGGAGTTCTAGAATACGATCCATAGTATATATAGTGCAAAATTGAATGCAATATTTTCATTATAAACATAACACACATAAGCCATAGAGCTCCTTATGAAAGAGTTGGTTCAGGGAAGTACTGCTACCTTACCTATTTATGACACCAAGCAGTAATGTGAGCATTACTGCATTCCAGTTTCGAAGGGTAAGGCTGCTGATGAAATTACGGGCACAGGGGACTTGTCAACTTATGTCTCAGGGTAACGGGCGCCGTGGCAAGATGCTTGCGATTTAAACATGAGCTTGTCCTTAATGGGCACTGGACCTGGTTTAGTACCAGGTGTATGACTTGTTCGTCCTGTCACTTGATATTTAAAAAAAAAATTGTATATACATAATGTAGTGTGGGTCTGAATCACTTCACATATTATGTACATTTAGATGTACACATGGGGCCTTAGGAGGATAAACAAGATTCACATACCTTATAAACTTCGCTTGATCCTCCAACACCTAATTTCTTAATAAACATGTACTTCTTGTCTTTTATACTGGTAGTCTTAAACAACACTTTGTGACTGCCGCTCATTGGGCCTTGCGGGTAAGATGGAGTGGCAGCATATGAAGTGGGCAACGGTTTCCTGTTCACGGGAGTTACAGGCACTGGAGCCAGACACTGTGAATTTTCTGGTTTATTTTCTAGATCATCCTTTTTTGTAAATAATTCACATCTCACTTTATCCCTATTTTGAATTAAGTTTTGCGCTTGTGTCTTCTTATTGCTGTTCTTTGCTGAGCCTGGTGTGAATTTCCTTATGCCAGACTTAAATTTAGGTGTACTAGTTTTTATTTTGTTTGTACTACTTGGAGGCTTCATCTCTGGTGTTTTTTTGACTGCCGAACTGATATTGCTTTGTATTATTCTCGGGTTATTGTTGTGCGTCATCAGTACACCGCGCTTTTTGACCTCTGAACTCGGATAAGGATTTGGAACTATAATCTTTTGTGCACTGTTAGATATAATGCTTTGTTTGTTTGGATAAGTCTGATTTGACGTCCAAATTTTATCGGAGTTCTCTTTATTACGCTCACTGAGCGCGACTTTCTTTTCTGAAGAGCATTCTTTAATTTCTTTCGGCTGGGTGGCTTTGTAGGAGGGCGTGGAAAATTCTTTCTTTACAGGCTTTCGGGGAGATTTTTGAGCTACAGTCAGTCCGGTGGAGTCGTCGCTATCGTCGGCGGACGTGTAGCTGTCGTCAGGACTTTGGGACTGAGTCAGGGGCATCAAATTTGCCAACAATGCCGACATCGGCATTGGGGCCAATTTCACACTGTTTGAAGTCGGTTCTGTGTTACCACTCATGTTTTTAACGTTTTAGCGTTTTCGCTTTAGGCACATTTACAGATATATTATACTACTTTGAATACTTTTCAAAAGACTTTAATTTATTTACAAAGTAAACGTTTTTTACGAAACACCAATTCCACAAATCCGTTGAGAAACTTTTGAAAATTTGACAGTTGTTTGTTGACGTACGGAAACGGTCTGTTCGTTTCAAAAAAAGGAATTAAACAACACGATACACAGTGATCAAAAATCCTGTCAAACTGGATATTTCGAGTGAAGCTTAGCAATTGATACGCTTTAATTTTATCCAAACCCTTCCAAACCAATGATTAAAATTTTATGCGATTTTTATACTAACCTTAGAATTCACAAAAATGATTATGACTCAAAAAATAAAAATATTTCTACATGTTTAGTAACTAAAATTACTATTAATGTAGCTTCGTCTGTTTTCCAAAATGCAGTTGTAATTTCAGAAAATTTAAAATTTCCTTAAAACCATTAGTTTTTTTTTATTCTGCATATTTTCACATTACTATCATTCAAAAATACTTTTGAAATCTTAAGGCAATGCATACTATTGTCACAGAAAATCAGCTGTTAATTCCATGGGTAATTTTGGAGAAAGTATAAAGTTAACGAAAAATCGACATTAAGTTACATAACTGTCTAGATCATAGATTTAGTATATAGGTAAATCTATGGTTATACCCTTACCTTGTACGTACCTTTGCGTGACCTTTGCCTAGGCGGGCTTTTGAACTTACAATTACAGCCTTTACAAAGATTATTTTTATTTTAAGTATATTTATCAAGAAAAAATGAAGAAAGAAATAGTGATGAAGAAAGTTACTACTATGTTCCTAATCCTGAAAATTCCAGTAATTGCGAATTAAAGTTTTTGTTCAAAGCATTGACCTATTGGTCATTGGTTCAAAGTGATAGAAAATAATGTGATTTAAGTGAAAGTGAAAACATAAATATTGACTCCCGCCGCTTAAAAGACTATGTAAAAAACCCATATAAGTGAACTAAGTTAAATTGAAAACATAATGTATTAGAACTACTATGGAAAATACTGAGTATCCCGATAATTAAACGAAGACATGGCTCAAAGGACTTTGTTCCAAGCCAAAAGTCTTAATATAAAAACACCTTTACCAACCAGAACGAATGGTTAAAAATTTATTTAAAAAATTATGACAAAATTGCCGAGTACGCTGTCGCATCAATTTCAAATCGCTCGCAAGGCTCTTAGGGACGTATTCCAGAACTCTACTCAATGCCCAAGTCAGGACTTGAGTATGATTTGTAGTGCTTGAAATCATACTCAAGTCCTGACTTGACCATTGAGTAGAGTTCTGGAATACGACAGACTATGAAATAATTTTATGCCTACCCTTGAGGGTTTACTTGACTCCACTCCTTTATTGTTCTTAGATTTGACTGCACGACTTTTTTTATATACATACATATACTGCTGGTAATTCTCCGAAAAATCTCAAATGGTGGAAATTTTCCCGGAGAAATTCCCGAAAAATTTGAAAAATTTCTTTTCGAAGGTTCATATTATTATGTTCTACGTTTAGAAATGCCTTTTGAAGTTTTATTTAGCGTGAATTATAAAATAAACTTACATAGCTAAAGCCACATAGAAAAAGAGTGTACGGATTAATAAAAATGCATTTTTTCTTCTGATTCTGTATACATTCACGATTGTTATACATAACAATATCATTATTATTTAAATTATAGCCTATTTAAAAATAACTTAAATTACAACAGTTACACAAAAATACTAATTTTATTGTGAGTTTGTCCGAAAACCGTGGCGGGCTGCGGCGCACTGTGTGTTTTGAGATCTGAGATGTACTGGTTAAAACTTTCTGTGATAAGAATTTCGCTAGTGTCAATGCAGTACTACCAATAATGGTAGTAACACGCAGTTATCAACGTGACGGCGTTAGTTTAAATATTTATCGATCTTATCTTCCAGTACTGTCGTCACTTTTTTTATTTCTCCGCCTGCTTTGTCCACATCTTGACAAAATTTTATTCAATTAATTATCGTCCACGTCGATTACGACTCTGTTTGCTGTTCCGTGTATCTGCAGTCGGGTGTACCGCACTCGCATTTCATCCATTTTGACTTTACTGACCAGAATTTTTCTCCGTAATCAAATCTGTGAAAATAAAGACGTAATATTTTAGCAATTTGTTTCTTTTATTTTTTAGCGATTCGTGAATATTTTAAAATTAAACCCTTTGGTCAGTACACGTACTAGTGATGTGCACTGTAAATCGATAATTAATATTCGACATCCAACGACAGAACTCACTGCCTAGCCCTTACAACAGTGTATAGTCTTTATCAATGATCTTATAATTATTTGTCTTCATTGATACCTGTTTGCGAGTTTGTTCGAAAAACAGTCCCATTTCATTTTATAGCATGTGGTGGTTATTCATTTATAACTTTTTTTTAAATATTGAGGTAAATATTCTTGATTTTGGCTTAAAAGTCCTTCAGTCGAAATATGAAAGATATAAATTATCGAAATATAAATATAAATACAGAAAGTAATACCAAAATTAAAAATTCTTTTCTACATTATTCATGACTAGTGTTGCTATTGTGTATGTAGTGTTGCCAGTAACTACCACGATGTCAGCGTTAAGTTCCATTTTTGCCTTGTACATATGCACAAATACTAACGTAAGTTCGTCTCCAATGCGTATGTCACGAGCAGCAAAGAGAGTGACAGTAGGTAGGCGCAGATCTCTAGTGTTGGTGAAGACGCGTACTGGTGCAAGGTTGGGCCTGCAGCTATGGTTGATAAACCGGGCTGCACCGCCCCAGCGGCCGGCGTCCACGCAAAGGAGCGTCTTTTCGGAGCATTGCTAAGAAAGAAACCAACCAATTCGTTACAGTAACCTAGCTCTGTGGATAGATGGCGCTAGGGTGTGACTAGTTGCGCCGTCGATTTTTGTGATCGAAGTGGTATTTTATTAAACCGAAAAGAAACGCATTATGTCTATGTAATAAGAGCAAAAATGACGTTGTGCGTTTGATTTAGGCGAAGCGATCTGAGAACGAACGTGAGAGGTTCTTTCATAAGAGCAGTGTGCGGCTAGCGCGGTGTTCATCGTACGACTGACGAGACCGCTACCTGTGGAACCGTTTGTTATTTTTTTGTGAATATACTCCTGATGTTATTATTATTCTTTCTTTCTTTAAGAGAGAGTTTTTTTGTTTGTCCAATCTTTGTGTCAATATGGCTGTGGCCGAACGGTTACCATGTTGGACTGCCACGCAGAGGTCTCAGGTTCGATTCTCGGGCCGGGAGAAATATTTCGTATGGCGTACATTTATTTCTTTCGTAAGTTTGGGTGTAATTTCTATGTGTATGTCCATGGCACCCGCGACACAGGGTTTCACTAATGCGGGCCTATGTTGTGTGTGTGCGTTATTATTATTATTGTAATAAAGATAATACCTCTAACTATGGGGGGCTGTTGCATTCGGTGGTGTGGGAAAAAGAGCAAAACATTTAATTACAAAACAAACGTAATCAACTTTCATCGGTAGTTACATATGTAATTTTGCAATTTTCGTCCATTATACAAAGGTTCAAGTTAAACTGGTGGTTTTGAAGTGAAACAATTAACGACACCCGCCAATTATTTCGAATTAGGGCTGGCCAATCGGAGCGCAGTTGTCACCGTAATGATTTGGCAGAATAGTTTTCAAACAAATGAAATAACATTTCGTCTCTATATCAAGGTTATATACTCGATGACTTGCACCTACCTCGAGCAGGTCCGGCTTGACGTCGAGCGCGAACATGTACTGGTCCATGGTCCTGGAGTCGGCGTCGGCCATACTGAGCAGCTCCCCGCAGTAGGTGGCGACGGGCGTGCCCCGCGGCGCGGCCGCCATGGCGCGGAGGCCCCACCCCCGCGCGCCGCCGCACCGGAACACTTGGGCGCGAATGAACAGCGACCCGCGCACGCACAGCGGGCTTATTATTGTATTCTTGCACTTCCTCTGTAAAGTTAGGGCGCGTTCTCATTGTGTCGTAACGTTTTATTTATCGCTGGACGACTGTTGCAAATATAAAAAAAATATACATAATTTCATTAAGAATAGAATACGTTTATTTGCCAGAATACAGTAATTACAAAGGTCTTAAGTAAAATTAGGTACATTGTATTCAACCTGCAAGCAGATGTTAATAATCAAATATTAATGGGATTCAATGTTTCTTTAGTCTCTACAGTTTCTAATTAATGTAATGAATTTGTAAATTCTAAGTATTCTTTATTACTACAGAAGCAATGTGTCAAAAGCCATTTTGTCAATTTTAATTTAAAAGTATGTACTTGTAACAATTTAATTTCGTTTGGTAGAAGAAAGAAAGAAGGTATCCATAATATTAACCTTAGAACTAAGTCCAAACTCATGGTACCACGATTCGCAAAGATCTGAGGGGCACTGCCACTGCGTCAGTCACCCCGAGACACAAGTTGACAAGTCCTATGTGCCTGTAATTTCACAAGCGCCCTTACCCTTCTAAACCGAAACACAATAATGCTGACATTACTGCTTGGCGGCAGAAATAGGTAATGTGGCAGTACTTCCCTAGACGAACTCTTCCACTGCTACTAAACCTACTGACCTTTTCTACATTGGTTCTGGTCGGAATGCCCTGGATAATGCCTCAGAGTGAACGCCGTTATTTTGGTCCTCATAGTATAGAAAATTCTCTAGTAAGACCAGGTGGATGGTGTGGTGGTCTGGTAGATTATTATCATTAATTCTAAATATATTAAATTTATTGTAATAAAGTGAGCTGAAAAAATTTACCGCGTCACAGCCGCAGGTCTGGTTGCAGTCGAATAACATAGGCGGGTCGTGGTAAGGGAAGCCGGGCTTGAGCCGATCACGGACCCACCACCGACGAACGCCCAGGACCACGCACTCGCAGTTCCCAGACGTGCAGTCCCCGGACGTGCACGAACAACCCTGTGCGACGACATTGAAAAATATTCTTTTATTATCGCATATAAATCAACAAACAGACAAAGAGATTCACTCTTTCGAAAGTGGTTTCCTCTGTGGACATTTGCCAGTCGGAGTAATAATGTAGACTTGTTAGTTTACACATGCGAAACGGAGAAGAGATAGGAGTTCGTGGTTTCATGATGAAAGCCCATTACTTAAGCGGATCGACTAATATGGATTACTAACGTGTCTACAATGAGTCGTTATTGTTTACCGAAGTGAAGAAGCGAAACAATCTCATTGTTTACCAAAGCGGAGTGCAGGGGAGAGGATTTAGTTAATTTCAGTTTTACACCGGCGAGACGAGGATTGAAATTTGTGTGACAAAATCTATCTTAGCCCATCTTCAATGGATATAGTCTGGATTGACGAGAATGAGCGAGGCGAGAATTGAAGTCTCTGTTGATGTAACATTGAACCGTATTGCTGCCTCCATAGAGTATTATACTCTTTAACGGAAAAATTTGCGAGTGCCCGCACTGTGTCGCGCGAGCTCGCGTTGTCTATTAATATCAATCGCGAGAACGGAGTACCCCACGTATGATTTGAGATTTAAAAAAAAAAGATGTTTCATCTGATTCTTCTTCTGTTAACATATTTAATAATAATAATTTACGGGACATGTTACTTCAGCCGCGAATTCATAGCTGGATGAACTGAACAGCACTAAATCTTCACTCCACAATCCTAACGCGAATTCTTTTCTTCTTATTAATGGCAATTTTTGGTGGTAATGTAGATTTCAATTCTCGTCTCGTCTCGCCTCGCAGGTGGAAAACCACCTTAATAGATTCATTTGTTTACCTGCAGACTTTGCGTAGTGCAGTCGATGGCGATTGGCTGCGGAGTCACGTGCGCGGTAATATACGTAAAGTCGTCCGGCAAGGGCGTGTCGTCTACTTCGTTCACACAGGGGAGCGGGTGCGGCTCTCGACCGCGCGATATGTCGCTAAGAAGGAATATTCAATTAACATAATTGTTATCATTTACATCAAATTAAAATTTCTCAAGTAGAAAAAAATTACTTCATTTTTATTTCATAGTTTTAAAGGAACAATTGAAATATGAAATTTATTAAACATTTAGGAAATGGAACTACTTTTTTTTATCTAAATCGCGTATAATGTTTTTTTTTTCAAACAATCCAACGTTTCGGACCATTTACTTTATTGGTCTCGGGATGAACTCGATAT